CTTCTGTGTATTCGGCTTATGACTTGACTGTCTGTGTTCTTGTTCGTCTGTAGTGAATCTCTGTTTTCTTCTTCTTCCTTTCTTGAATCTTGTCCAGGGTTTCTATTAGATCTATCCTTGATGACGATGCTACTTTCGGCCCAGCATCTCCTAACACGTTGAAGTTGGTGCTTCATTGATCCCTTCCCAGTTGTCCTCCATCGTAGTTTCTTCTTCTTTTAGTATATCTTGTAAGACTTGGAACCTGTTGTTGAGAGCCATCTGGAATTCTTTGAATTTGTCGATATCTTGAATGAAGTCTGTATCGAACTTTTGCAATGATATTTCCCCAGTTGTACAGTGCTTCTTTAGCTTCAGTGTAATCTTGAAAACCACCAGGTGGTGATCTGAAGCTATGTCATCTCCTTTCCTGGTTCTCACATCTATTGTCCTTCTGAATTTTTTAGTGATACCTTTATATGGTGGGTCTGGTTACTTGTAGTGTGATCCTGTGAGACCTGTATAGTTTTTTTTGCATGAGTTTGTGGGGGAATATAGTGCCATCAGTTTCGTCCCTTTTTCCCAATCAGTAACGCTAGAAGATCTACAGGCGGTGTTTATTTACAGGAAGGCTGAATATTATTTTTTGGTGTTCAAATAATTAGTCAGGCTGGTTGAAAGGGAAGCACTATAGCTTAAGATGACATAACTACAAATTCTTTTTCATACACCTGATGATAATCCCCATCTGTTATGTTCAACACCAATTACGAAGCCAGTGGGAAATCCTATCATCCAAGTAGAAACTAGCACCGATATTTAGTAAATATATAATCAAGGCGTTACCTCCTTGGTCTCTCTACCCACTTTTGTGCAGAATAACTTGTCTAATTTAGACTAAGACCTTGATGCAATAGGATGACTGGCTTAACCTTGAGGCTAGTATGAGTGAGTTTGAAGTGACACCAACTACTTGGAGTAGAGAGACGAAAGCTGTTCTATCACCTGATTGACTGACAAGCACGCGAGTGAGAGAAGACTAGCCAACTAGAACACTACTCGATTTATCCTCAATTCCGATCTGGTCCCCGATTTGAGATTAGTCCAAAATGATACATGAATAAATAGATGACTAACCGCACCACAACGCACAAAAATTAGGAAAACACATTTCCAAAGCTGGGAACTAGAGTAGAAAATGTAGTACAAAAGATTGCGTTTAAATTACAATAGCTTTAGAACAGAAAAAGCTATGGCAGTGAATCATACATCAAACGAAAGCTTATGGTTTGTAGAATAGACTAGGGACAAAAATAAATGTTACTGTTCTGCAAGCTTTGAATTACATGAAATAACGTCCTCCAAAATAGCTTCTGTAGTTTGTCAAGGCTTCTTGTTTCTCTGTTCATATCACAAGGGATGCGCCAATCAGAATCAAGAACATGACTTTTAGGTTTCTTAGCAAACTTCGAATATAAAGTATGACGAATAACAAAAATACTACGTACATTGTTCAAAACATCTAAAAGAAAATGAGGACTTATTGTTCACAATCGTGGAGTAATATTGATAGTTTTGACGTATCAAACGCTTCATTCTTTCTCTTTGGATTTTATGTAACAAGCAAATTGATATTATCCCTACACTCTAACACAAAACACTTGATCATGAAACAAACCTTAAACTGATAAAACTACACTATGCGTATGAACTAATCAATTAGTGTCTCATATGTTTGAGGAAAATTCACCCATCCAAATAGCAACAGAGCAATCTTATATTGTGGCTGATGTCAGTTCGTGATTAAAACCCTGACCCTAAACCCATAAGAAATCTGTTGAAATCTTTTAGAGGTTTTAGAAAAACAAACTGAACAAACCTGCAAATATCTTCTTTTTTTGTTTAGTTAGTTGGGTAAAACCCAGGTCCTGAAATAAACTCATTCTGTGGATAATTTTTTTAATATAATGAGACAATTAACTGTTCAATAAAATTGACAGTCATCATGTACATTATGTAGTATTTCGAATAATTGTAGACAACTATTCATATGTCTGACTGAATTAAAATAGAACCATGAGGAGAAAAGTAATATTAACGAGAATAGACTGTAAGATCAAATCCGTTCTGAGATCCATTCGAAATCTTGATTGTTACGTTACGAAAGGTAATAGCAACAATTTATTCATGATATAATATTTTGCATAATACTAACCAATTCTTCTTGAAATAGGTTGAAGTTATTTCCTATCATTCCAGTATAAACTTGTGTTCTATTAATTCTATTTTACTCATCTAAGTGGTTACATATTATTTGGAGCATTTATCTTAATACATTCAAAACTGATTTTTTAGATTTATCAAATCTGGAATTTCATTGATGATTAATTGTGGAATTTATTAAGATTAATAGACGAACATGATAAATCAGGATAGTGAGACAAGTTCATACTTTATTCTCAATAATTAAATTTAACGTTTTGTTCAGTATGGCAAATATGAACTTCGCCTAGTGTAACATTCACATTCTTTGTATTATTCTATGTGAAGTTTGTGTTTACAGTGAATTAGCGTATCTTTACATTTATATAATGTTTATTAACTAATCATCGACTGTACGTAAAATGAGTCTAAATATAAAAGTATTTAATTTAATCTCATGCTTTCGAAGTCTATAAATTTTCATTGCACCAGTTTTCCGAGTATTTTCCCTTCGTTTCATAGAACTTTTAGGAGTTCCTCATTTTCAAGTATAAGCAATATGATAGAGCATAATTAATTCGATTTGAATATATTGATCACAGACAACAAGCAGAAATGATTCGTTTGAATAAATTTCTTTTCTGTCATACTGTGTGTACAGAAAAGTGAAAATCGTGATTCCTAAACCTAGAAGTTTCAACAAAATTCACAGTGGTAATACGAGCTTTTTGAAGTCAAGTCATTCAGAACAACACATAAATTGATAATATTGTTTTTGACTGTTTTGATTAGATCTTCATCAAACTTTAATATATTGTAATGTATTTATACGTGTATATGAAAACTAATAAACCGTTCAAGTCTATTTATAAGTCAATGGTAAAAATGAAATACATTGTACCCCAATTAATAACGAATGAAAAGTATACATTGATAATAAGACCACAAGTCTTGTAGTAATTTTTAGGATAATTAAAAATATGATGATATTAGCAAATATTTCATCATTGGAATTAGGTGAAAACCTTGAAAAAACAAATTCATTGCAAAAATTAACAGTAATGATTATGTAGTAAGAAGTGGGTAGTTAAGAAGAAATGAAAACGGGTAGAGGAGAAATGTGTAGAGCGTAGAAAGAATTAACAAGTCTGATAGATTTCCGCTGATCCAGGAAATGACAGGGAAATTATAGATATGTTTTAGGCACAAAGTCTGTGGTTTAGGTTCGAATCTACAGTTTCCGCTATGAGACGAAATAAACGTTACTAGAAAAACTTCAAGATATTCAATCTGCTGCTCCCAATACTTTGGTTCTATCTAACGCGTATTTATAACCGACCATGTATTATAGAACAAAATTATGTTACCTTATTTTAGATGATGGGAATATTTTTTTAATATCTTCGGTTTTTTCCAGCATATTTTTACGAAAATATACAATTTTCGCAAGCATGTTTATAGAATATTTCGTTGAAAGCCAGAATTTCATATTTATGTTGCTACTTTGTTAAACTTCTTATTTCTGTTTGTTCTAATGTAGACATTATGCAACATTCATTAATATGTCGTCGACACATAAAACCTGCGTTCAGTAATAGTCTAGAAATAAATTGTGATCATCAGTGCATATTCTGAACGTCTTTAAGACGCTCGCTACAAAGTAAAAATGGAAACTCATTTTATAATGTGATGTAAACTTAGTTGAATGAATTAATTAGCAATTTTACGGAGTACAATAAAGGATTACATACTCGTCAAGATTATTAACCAACCTAAATGGTCTCGCTCGAACTGTTTCTTTATTTTATTGAAATCCACCAATATTCACAACTTTAAGCTGATAGTTATCATGTACAGACTGGTGACTAGCTCTGAGAGGAAATGCTCAGAGTTTAATCGTGTTAGGTGTGAGATGGGTAGATAGACAATGGAAGATGGTGGTGCGACTTCGATGATCGATTAAAATCAGAAATGTATACGAATGGATTCCAGTTCACCAATCTAAGGATGATTATTTCACGTGCCAGTTCTAATGTTCTGAGTTTGTGAGTACGCAGTGCTCAAATAGCTGTTCTGTGCTTCTAAATTTTCCATGGTTGTCTAACTACGTTCGGTTCAATTGAATTTTTGTCGACAGAAACTAATTATTAGTAGTTGGACTTCATTGTATGAAATAATAACAACATTGAATCTACTAAAAGTGTAAATACACGCGAATATTCTATCTAACCTACCTGTTTCTATACTCAGTATCTAAATGTGCTTTTGAAATTTTCTGATTAGAACGATTCAGTTTAGACGAAATGAAATATTCAAGATATTAATTGTTTTGCCAACCGACTATCGCTTTTACTAACTTATTGTCCAGGTAATTTTAATACGATTATATATTACAAGAACCTTTCACATTCAATTGTAAATTTAACCATAGTTTACGATTGAAAGCATGGGTTTGACAGATCACATGTGGCTTTATATTATTCGAAATATTTCAGTGGGATACAGTGATTAAGGTTTCAGTAATAAAGGACGTTATTGACGTATTATTAGTTGAGTTTTACTGAATTGAACTGATGATGAGTTTGATTTGGTATCTTCAATATTTGGATACTTTTCATGGCTCAAATCAAGAACTCAGATTTCCTCATATTTCCAGACAATTTTCTGAATTCCCAGAATTAAATTTGATCTGATTGTCTACCTTAAAAAGAAATAGTACCTATGTTATTATTGGGCATTGTATTCAAGGTCATTCCTGAAGATAAACCCTGATAATGATTGGACAGTTCAATATATTGAAATAAAACACCAATAAACTGATTCCATTTGCGTAGGTGGACATGGCGATTCAAATATTGACCTTGACAATGCTAGGCTAAAATAATTATTTCGATTTTTGCCACTGTTTCAAGGCTGCTGCGCTGCGCCACTGTGGACTTGTCGTTTTGGCCGTTTGGATTATAGTAATCGTGTACACTCTAAATCTGTCGGATGACCGACAGGAAAGCACAGGATGTTGATGGATGTTTTTTATCAAACGACCATGGCATGCGCAATTCGCATGATGGAAATCCGAACAAAAATACAGTAAGTCAAGCTACCGTGGTAATAAGACATAAAGTCACATCAGTTTGAGCAAAATCATAGCTTTCGAGACAAGGAATCGTGCGCTTTCTATGAGCGTCAACAGAAATAGCATTTATTTTGCGCAATTTATAAACTGTATGAAAGGAATTATTAGCTTTTTTAACTGTTTTAACCAAGCAAATATTTGAATTATTATAGGCAGAGATGGGTGGTAGCTAGCACGTTTCGTCCTATCTAGGGCTTGTCAGCTGGAGCGATGTACAAAATGACTTAAATATTTGGGTGTTTCTGACGTTATTGAAACCCGTAAAGTGTACTCGAAATATACGACCAACCCGATCTTCAACATAAATATCGTTTCATCATCAGTTATTTTCAACTAATTTTCATTTTTTTAGTCTTCGGTACCGCTTCAAGATGGGACAGGAAATAGCGGTGAAGTAATCCTAGTACGCCAGAATTCAACTGAACGAGGTGGCTGGAATGGGAAATTGGAATTCATGATGACATGTATTGGTTATGCTGTCGGTTTGGGGAATGTTTGGCGTTTTCCATACTTGTGTTTTAAAAATGGTGGAGGTCAGTAAGATTCTACTCGTATAAGTAATTGAATTATCTATTATGCTCAATTAACCTTGTCTGCCCCGTAAAATATATCATATTATTGTTTCTTGATAATCCATTGTGAAGTTTATATTACATAACCAAATTGCTTTTAGATGTTTGTAAATTTCTATAATTGTTTCGCTCGTTTGCGTCAATTTGCTGTTTCGAACAAATGTTTAGATATACATCAACCTTACCAATAAAATGTATTTGTATCATCACATTAATTTACCATATTCTGTCTAATTATATGTAGAAATCACCCATACGGAATAGGACTACACTCATTTAAACCAAAATGATCAATAATGGGCTTTGTAAAGATTGTTAGGTGATATTAAGATTCCAAACAACTATATAAAACCTGGTGTCATTGGACAGGTACTTTGTCTAATTATGAGATTCTTCAGTTGAACCAGAAACATACTCGCAGCTAAACGTCCAAGTCTAATTTCAATCAATTCTCTATACTGTGCGACGATCCTCTATTTCTTGTATAACTGTGGTTTAAACTAACAAAATATCAATTAATTTAACCGTTCAACACTAAGACGTTTTGTCACATAGTTCAGATGATTGGTTTTAATTTTAAAAATATTGGTTTCTATGGTTGTGTTTCCTTTTGAGTTTACTATTTACATATAAGTATGCATGCAAATTTTGGGAGTATCATACAAAAGTGAGTAATAAATATGTTTTAGATTTTTATACTCCATTTATTTACGAGTATAATCACTTTTGAATTATCTCAAACAGAGTTTATCAAGTACGTAAATCGGCATAAACAGATTGTACTTGTTTATATTAGCGCAAACTACTATTTCACAGTTAAACTTATTGTGTTGAGTAGATGTATTCAGTTATTTCGTTCTTTTTTATAAATTATAACATACATCCTATGAAGTTATGTGTATCTGAATGTTGCATGAAACAAATATGACTGAGAACAAAAATATAAATTCAGGTAGATTGTTTAATTAATGGGTTTTCATCCTCATATTAAAATTTGAGCCCAGTAGTTTTTGCTTCGAATGCTCAATATATCATTTATTGGGCGATTGATACTGATTAACTTCAGTTCTTAACATAATCGATGGGAAGATTCAGACAATTACAAATGAAACTAATTCGTGCGCGTTATACAAGTCAGCAGCCATCTGGACTCAGTAGCTAACGTGTTAGGACTTTGAGGTTGGAACTGAGTTTGTTACTTGAAGTGAGTACCAGCACAGGAATGGCAATGCATTAATCTGTCCTAACGATAGCGGAGTTTGATGTCCTACCTCAGGTATTTATCTTGATTAGGAAACCACTGTAGACTAGAAGACATTGGACAACTGTTTCGTCCCATTGTGGTGCCACCTGGGGTTCATTCAAAACGTAGCAATGCGTATGCAAGACCTCACTGTTGAGGGAACACAGGACCAGTAATTCTAATCATTGAGTTGACGTTCAACTGTTAACCTTTCTACGTTTGAGTCCTTTCTGGGCTTAGATTGTAAGTAGCTTCCGTGAATATGCATCGCTATTTCAGTTTGGCCGGCCATTTTCATAAATGTTCATAGTGACCATTTGGTAAACGAATAATTCATTGAATCTATACATAATTCGTGATATAAAGAACTTTTGTTTCTTTATATATCATAAATACTATAAACATCAAAGGATATTTTGTAACACTGAAATGTCTAGTATATAATTCATTAACTTAGGGTAAATAAGTAGTATCCATCATTACTACTGCTGAGAAACAGGCGAATTTACTTATCAGTGATTGGCGTCATCATAAAAAGACGTTTTTATAAAATCTCTATTTGACATAAAAATATCTCGTTCTTATATCATATGAGACAAGATTTGTAAACAAAACCCACATTCAGCTATTGCTGTATGTGATAATTTAAACTTGAATGGAAATCCTTATTAAACAATGAAATTTAATAAATGCATACTAAATACAGCATTCTCATTTTGACAAAATCATTTGGAATGCGTAACAGACTTTTTACAAGTATATTAGTGCAATCAGTTTTACTAACTTTCCTATAAAAGGATTTTTTTTGAAAAAAAGACGAAATATAACCCGTGAATATCCTACGTAAATAATGATCACTGACAGATTGAAGTAAAATGATATTTAATACGATCATTTGTTAGTGTACGTTTTCACGGAACAATATCAAAGATAAATAGTCGTGTAAACCTATAATATTTCTTAGTCACACACTAAACTATAGGGTCTTGTTAAGAGATAGATGAATACTGTACATATGTGAACTAAATTTAGCTAATTGAAGCTTCAAATATTGTTTGATTTATATCATGGCCCATAATCGATTCCAGTTGCATTCACTCTTTATCTTCTCCCAGATCTTGAGTTTCAATATTATTTATTTGACGGATTCATTGTTATCAAATCGTCTGTATACTTGATATGTTTTACTGCTGCGTATAACAACGCTACTCTGGTACTCACCATTTTCCACTGATAATTAAATGCTACTTAGAACAAAATACTGTTTTTGAATATTTTTGAGTTTTTCAACTTCATACTTTCTTTAACATTGATGCAAGAATCGTAGAAAATAGGAGAGATGTAAATATACGCACACATTGGTTAAATGGTTAAAAACAGTCTAACCATTTATTTATCAATGACGTACAATGCTATATTGACGAAAGATATTAAAAACAATACCCTTTATGATAATTTCTCATGTCAAAAGGATAACAACTGAAAACTAGTTTCCAAAAATATTCCAGACTATTTCAGTGTACGTTAATGAATAGTGCATTTGAAAGGAATTATGTAATACTCCATTCTGAAGGAAACAGTTAATTCCTTTTTTTAAATAACAAGTTTATGTTTTTTCCAACAAGACATTCATTGAATTGGCTCATTCAAACTGTTGGTAAAATAGTTAGATTTGGAAAGATAAACATTTTCCCGGTTATCGTTGTGAATATATATTCCAATATTGGTTTACATCATTGTTATGGCTTCCGTTAGGAACAGTAAAGTTCTCTTTTCTAGTAACGAGATTTTCATGATTCAACTGCTTTGTACTTAGGATGGTGTTAGGTCAGTGTAATAGTCCAAAGGAGTATTAATAAAACAGTAGTCTGGTATTATTTTCTGTCTGGAAATTCTAGTGAAACATACTACCAAGCAGCACTGGTCTGTTGAAAGCTGACAATGTCATTTATATTTGCTATTGTATACCATATAAATTTCATGATAATCGTCTCACGGCAAACAGTGGGATAAATGAAAACTAAGTAACTGCTTTAAAAGAAGTTCTGTTGAAACAATACTTAGTTTTTAGTGTTAGATACCATCTAAAGTCCTTAATTATAGTTCCAGTATGATCATGGTATATAAAGTGGTTTTACTATAGTACACATTGAAGGTATTATTTCAGATATTTAAAACATCGATTTTTTTATTGAACTTTTGAACAAAATATGGTTGTTGTTTTTTTACAAATTATGAACATGTTTAACCTTGGCTAACTCAAAACAGTTCATTTTGATAAATTTAGAACTAGGTGAGTACATCTCTTACAGTCATTTTGTAAATGGTGATCAGCAATTGTGTTTGGTTTTTAGAAACAAGAGTAGGGTGATAAAAAGGAAAATTCAAGCATAGATTTTCTTGTATAGTGATTACTTTCCTAACTAACATTCATTCATTCTTTTCTTTCATTATATTTATATTCTGTTTCGTCAATAATGAACTGAGAAATGGCTGTATATTGTACCGGTTAAAATTCTAAATATTATTAGATTTTTTTCGATGTGTGGTTCATGATTTGTGATAAGGTATATATAGTATTGTTGTTCTTGCCAAATACATAATCTTGGAATCACCTGACAGTAGATGATCACACATTCTGCAACAATTTATGTCAGTATCAGGTCTCTGACAAAGCCAGAACACAAGTTTCTCGAAATAGGAAAACTGACCATAATTAGTTTAACAGTTAAGAAAATAACAAGAAGATATAGTAAGGATGAGAATAACAAATTTTGCTGTTGTTAACAAGTAGTCGTTTTTCTTCTATTTTAAATTGTTAAGCTGCAAGCATTTACAAGTGTCGGACCATAAGTGACAACAGTTTGGAAATTTTCACTCTGATCACTGATTCTAAAAGGGAAATAATTTTAATTGATATCTTACTGTGGTATAAAAGGCCCAGTACATTAGCTTTTTTCATGTTTTATTTATGTTCTGATCTTTGACATTCTGCACTTGTAATTATAGGAGTTTATTTATAATCATTATTTAGTCACTAACAGGCAGTCAAATATTGACGCGCATTCAAAAAGCTCAGTTGGCTCCTTTCAACTTCAATCTCTTATGGCATATGGAGGGTCTCTGTTTGTCAACTAAAGGACGAGTTTACTTCTCAGTAATTCGCCATATTCTCCCTAATGGATTTTAAAATCGCGATTAATAATGGATGATATTTTTAGGTTACTAATATTCAATCATGAGTATCTTCAAAGCATTGCTCATATATTTTGTACAACCAACTGAGTAATACTAAAACTAGACATCGGGTTCTAATTAAATATCTCAGAGCAATTCACAAGGTAGGGAATCTTCGCCGACTGAGGTAATTGAAACCTGTTTTAATCATACCCGACCACCGCCTACCTCGACGAGCAATTAAGTCTTGTGTAGTAGCAGAAGTACGTTAGAAGAAAGCTTAGTGTTGGCAAAAACAAAACTCTGCATTTGTCTATTAAGTCATTGATATTTTGACTTAGCCATGTAGGTAGGTACGAACTACCCGATAATGGCGTCCAGAAGTTGAAGACTTCGGTCAGCCTGGTTAAGTGTCGTACAATATGGGGTAAGTGAATTTACTTCTCAGATATACAAGACAATGCAAGCATGAACCTAATGTTGACAGCAGATTAATATTTCGTTCTCTTTCCAAAAAGAGCAACAGTAATTTCTTAACCAATTACATTGATTTCTATCAAAATGTACCTGACATGTGTCACATGTCAGTCAAAATATAGTGGAAATTTTATAAAAATATGGACTTTTGGACTGAACTAGTACGAATATATTAATTAAATATGAAGGAATGTTAAACTGAATAATCATCACACTGGATAGAAAAACATCGCATATCCTTGACAAATACAGAAAAGCATCAGATAAAATTTGGTAAAATCTATGTCATTCATCATTATTTAGAGATCTTAAATAGTCGTTTAATCAAAATATGTATCAAAACGATGTGGATCTTCTCTAAAATAGTTACACTGCTTTGTCAGTTAAATATAATCCAGAAAAATGTATCTTTGATGAAAATAAAATAGGCATGGAATATTCAATATGATTTTTATTCACCTAACGTTATGTATGTCATAAAAGGCAGATATATGAAAAACGAAGAAAATTCTGACTGATTTCTTTTTCAAATCCCTAAGAACGATATGTTTTTAGGATGAATTCTGGCACACGGCTAGCTTTAGACAGATATTTTTTAATACCGAATCAATCAATTGTTTTATGGGAACACCCTTAAGTTTTTTAGACGTCTGCATCTCCTTAAAGGCTATCTATTTGTCCCACTGGTTTAGTAAAATGGTATTTTTCAAAAAGATCATTCATGAGCTTGCAAACGATAGTATTTGGTGGGTTTTTTTATTTTATTTGTATGTTTGTGATAGTAGGATGTAATAATGAAAATGTTTGTGTCAAAATAATTTACGAATGATTAAAAAACCACTTATCTATCAAACTTGATAAGTTAGTTCAATAACAGCCTTATGTTAGGCAACCAATTGATTGTCATTTTTCTATTTCAATTTTTGAATGCTAATTTTTTCAAATACTATTTTCGCCAATAGTATTGATCACAAAATATCTTGGAAAGCTGAACGTATTTTTGAACACTTCTGGGAATAGAAGAAACGTTTTCGTGAACAACCGCCCTCTTTTTTCCCATATTGTAATGTTGTAGAGATTGCAATTCAAGTTCTGTGTTTATGTTAAAGAAATAGCGAATAAACGCAAATGAAGAGGAGATTTCCATTTCTTTCGATATTCAGACAGAGATATAAGGTTTAGCGATTGTATGAATGAGTTTGAAAAGGACGTCCTCTCTGTCCAGTGATTAGGTTGTCAACCCACTGAAGTATGTTCAGAGGCGTTTGCTTGTTTGATGATTTTATGACATTTTAGATTTGTTTTTCTGATATACTACTTATTATATATTAAATAATGTATCATATTAACTAAACTACATAATCAGAAGGGGTTTTGTGGAGATTTCAGAAATTTCAATAATTGAAATCATGAGTCAATTGAAGCTAGACCACCATGGAAAATCTGGAAGCACTGGATGGCCGTTTCGTCCTATTGTGGGGTTTCTCAGCAGTGCGCATCCACGATCCCGGAACTGTCGTCCAGTGCTTCCAGGTTTTCCATGGTGGTCTAGCTTCGATTGACTCATTATTTGAACTATTTTAAATTACATAAAATTAATGAAAATTGAACGTACTTACCGTAACACTTTTGTACAATTTTGATCATGTTTAATTATGATATTTAAATGATGTGTGATATGAAAAAAGCATTTCATTGTGTTTTATTTATTTAATATAATTTTTAGGTGCATTTTTAATTCCATATACATTAATGTTAGCATTACTTGGATTACCATTATTTTTTCTGGAATTCGCTTTCGGTCAATTCGCTAGTTTAGGTCCAATTTCTGTTTGGAATATTAGTCCATTATTCAAAGGTATGTATAGATGTGTGTGTGTGTTAGTATGTACAGGTAATGTTTATTTTATTATATTGTCTGGGAGAGAAAAATATACTTTACTATATGAAATTTTTGTATTATTCAGCATGTTAACCATAGCTCAGTAGGTTAGTGACTTCATTTAAACTGTCTTCAGTGCAGATCCTATGTCAGTATTTTAAAAATCCCGAATAAAATAACCAGAGGAACCTATTGAGTTAATAAACAATAAACAAACACAATTCAGCAAGCTTGAGACGCGGGGACGGGAATTGTCTTATCAGAATGAATTGTCTTGTTTTTCTTATTCAAAGTTATAAGATGATATCTAAACATGAAACATTTGAGCACTTTATTTTAGCAACTATATAAGAACTTTTGATTATAATCATGTAATCAGGTAATAAATATTTCGCTACATAATCCGTAGTCTGACTATGAACAATTTCACTTATAATACATGGATTACGTGAAGGAATCTTACAGTATTTATTACATAAAATACAATTTTTGAAATGTTTGTCACCATCTATTTTTTGCAGTAAATTAATTTTGTCATCTCATGAATTGATTATCGCAATTATTCTGTCACAGGTTTTCTCATCCATAGTTTGATGACAAAAAGAATGTTCCGTTTATTATTATCATACTTTTCTAAAATCTTCAACTTTCCTAATATTCATCGACTACATAATTTGTTAAATTCGTTTTGAAAATGTACCATTTGAAATAGGAAAAAAAAGAAAACAATTCTATCCATTGTTTTGTCAGAGCATAGATGATTGTATTCCTTTGATAGAAAATATCTAAAATTTATATATATATATATATATATATATATACTCATTAAATTCAACGAGTCCATAAACTATGTCTATGATTGAAGCATTGGAATAGGTATTCAACGTGCCTTTTCTAGTTTGAAAACAGAAAACTGGTTTTGATTTTTTCTTTCTGAACAACATATGTTCATATAAATAAATATCTATTTTGAAAAGAAATTATTCACATAGTAAATATATCAAATTATCAATCCTATAAACCTAAAATATAATACAAAGTTATTCAACGATATACCGAATAAAAGATATTTCTTGGTAGAAAAAATCATAAAAAGAAAACAGAGTTTCACAATTATATTTTATATGTCTATAATTGTGGTAAACATTGTCATTTACAAAAACAACATATACAAACATTGACATGTTGAACACTAGCTCCCTGGTGTTTTAGATTTAAACAAACTGATTATAGATAGTATGTTATAAAGCTAACAAAAAATGTGCATATATTTTGTCAGAATTTATTCTTTTCGTACAATCTAGTTCTTTATTGAAATTAAAATGGATGATTTTTGCTTACATAGATAAATTTTTAATAATTTCTTTAAGTCAAATGAAAAGAATATTTCCCATTGATTTAAATCTATTTGTAAGTTAATGAATGAAATACATATATTAACGGAAAACATATGGCAAAGTAGATAGCTAGTTTATAGTTGAAGTAAAAAAAAAGCATTTAATTTTCTATTCTTAGAGCATCCACTTGACGAATCCAAAATAGGATGAAACCTACGTCTATGACCCAACTTTACTGAAAACTGTAATATCAAGTCGATTCTATATGAATACGTTTATGCCAACGGAAGCTGATCTTTTGTAGTTTTTTTATATCAACAATGTGAAATACATACTGTGATAAATATAATTTATTAGAGTAAATCACTTATTCCCTGTTATCACATAGCGCCTCCCAAAAAATATTACGTTTTGTCATCTATACATTACAAAGAAGGTCTACTGATTACATTGTGAATTTTGCTTTTTACATTTTCCAGGTATTGGTTACGCTATGGTATTTTTATCATGGTTATTAAATATCTACTATCAAGTTATCGTTGCACATTGTTTATATTATTTTGGTGTTAGTTTTACGCATACATTACCTTGGACAGAATGTAATCCTCCTTGGAGTACACCTGATTGTATCGATTCAAACAGAAGTAAGTGATATTTATTATGTAGATTAATCTAAGGATCACGTTAAGAAGTGATTATTTTTAATTTACACATTATTCACCGTAATAAGTTAACTAATATTCAATGGGTAGATTTAAGTAGCCGTACCAATCTTCATTTATTAAGTTTCTATATTGGATTATTTCTTTGCTAGCTTACATGAATGGTTACAGTATATATATCCTAACTGCAACTCCTGTTCGACATTTTATCGCTGTTCCTTTTTAACGTGATTGATTAATCGACAGACCAAACGTTTACCCTCTAAACCATTGAGCTGGCATACAGCGGCGTTAATGTCTAACCTCGAAGAATCCACGTAATTGCGCGACCATCTTCCATTGTGGAACTCATCCATGTCAGGTAGAGACAGGTATCTACCTCAGTACAATGGAAGATGGTCGCGCAATTTCGTGGATTAGTTGAAGTTAGACACTAGCACCATAAGATGCCTGCTCAGTGGCCTAGAGGCTAAGCGTTCGCACGCGAAATCAAAAGTCCTGGGTTCAAATCCGGCGAACGGAATTGTGGATGCGCACTGCTGAAGAGTCCCATGATAGCACGAAACGACCGTCCAGTGCTTCCAGGTTTTCAATGGTGGTATAAGATCAATCGATTCATGATCTCAATCAAAACTTAGTAATCTCCCACAACCCCATATTGATAATTGTTTTATTTGCTGGCTATTGTTATGTATCAACCTAATCGCTTTTAATTTATCCTAAATTAATAAGATCTCAGCTGAGTTGCACATTATAGTAAGTAGTAACATGGGACGATCATCCAAAACATTTTAAATCATAATCCTTTTTTATTCTAACTATCGTAATGGATCGAGTTGTTTGATACCTTATAAGCTCAAATACAACAGGATAACGGCTTCAAGCTAACACGTTTTATTTGATCTCTTCAAACTGTTCATCACGAAACTGCAATTGATAAGTATTTGTTTTGAATTTAATTTTACATGGACCATTGTCCATGTAAAATTGATTGGTCACTAACTAATGACTAGTGTCATGTTGATTCAGTTCTTTTGTGTTGATCAAAGTCTGCTAACAAAATCGTAATATGACCCAGGTCTGTAGTATTTCGTCGATTAACTACAGCCAACTAACACAATTAATTATTGTTTAATAAGTATCTTCTAGGGATATTCAGGAAAATATCCCAAAAATTATCCTGTTAAACCTAATGTTATCCTTGGACATGAAATGGTATCATCTTATTGGTCAATATTTGTTTAACGTGTCATTTTCCTACTGGCCATTATTGTACAATGTTATTTTCTATTTTGTGGTACGTTGTGGTCTGCTTGACTGGTATATAAGCAAAGTATGTTTGAAATATAATGATTCATATCTCCGAGGCTGTGACTTGTGTTCTGGACTCAACTAACTAGGCTAGACAGGGAAGCGAGACCAATCAGAACCCTAGGTCGTTCTACGTGTTTGCGCGTCTTTGGTCCGATCAATAATTCGCTACCCCTTAATCAGCATCATTTTCACAGTTATAACATATCTACTGCATTGCAACTATAATTATTTACATTAAACTTCTTCTACTCTAAACTTTACTATTAAATTGCCCATTTACTTCTATATTTTATCAAAATACTTTACAAAGTAGCACATGAAAATCGGTTCAGTTCCAGTTGTATACACTTATTATGTAGAAATCACAAATCTTCACCGTTCAGGCGATGCTTCTTTACTTATGTAAATCACCAGGTGTGAGGATTATTCATAATCCTGATATTTGCTCTGTTGATGTACAAACGTTGACAAAAACTATAATTCGTTGCTTTGTAGTTCCTTTATATATTTCTTGTGTTTTTTTTTAAAAAAAGCTGATTTCATTCCATGAAAATACTAATGAAGTTTCTCATCCAAGTTTTGATAAATCTAATCTTGTTCACATGTCTACATTTTATGGAAGTGAGAGTTTATTTCAATATCATGTCAAGTACAGTTGATCTATTTATACATCAGTTTATTAAATTATGCATATACATATAATGTGAATTTCTGTGAATTTTCTAACATAAATATGTAAATATTCTGTTTTGATTTCAGTGAATTACAGTAACATCACATATCCTAAAACACCATCAGAAGATTATTATTTGTAAGTGAAATTTTATAAATTATAATTTTATTGTTAATTAATTGATTTATAAATATGGAGAAATGATTATGGTTGTTTTATCCAATAAGACAATTGTTTACAACCTTCTCTACTCTTTACTCTACTCCACTCTACTCTACTCTACTGTACTTTACTTTGTTCTGTTCTACTCAATCCTTGACTATTTTCTTTCTACTATTTTCTCATTACCTCGGATATGAACAAGACAAACATCGTTATAATTGTAGATAGTTTTCATATAATATAAATTACTGAAACTAGATAATATGCTAATGTTTTATTCATTATGCCAAATGCTTTGTGCATATTTTATTCTATTGAAGCTATCATGAAAACAAAAATAAATACCACATCATATTGGTTTAGACTAATATGAGTTTTTTTTGCCTCAATTGAATGATTAATTTAATAGGTCACCCAACGGGTAACTGTACTCCATATTGTAATCAATAATATATATATATATATATATATATGTATACCACTATTAAATGTAGACCATAAAGCGAAATCATGAGAGTGGGTCAATCGATCTCATGAATAAGTTGAATAACAAAAAATTCACTAACATTTTCATAATTGATAAAGTAAATAATTTGCTATATGTTGAAACATAAATGATCGAGAAACAGTAACTGTTCAATGAACCTAAATGAAATCAAATGAACAATGAGCAAATTATTTGTTAACATTATGATCATGATCATTAATATCGTCCAATGGCATATCACTTTGTAAGTACTTACGAATACCGGTTCAAAGTTACCAATAACATTATCTGTAAGTTACTATTCTCATTTATTGAAAATAACCATATTATGTAAGTGCTTCTGAATTTACGTTTTTGTTTACATTTATTTAAATCTATATTCACGTACTTATAATTGTCTTTCTGCTCGTTAAGTAAAACATTTTGTAGTAGTATAATGTTTTAGATCCATTAGATATTTTTGGTCATCCATCATTGTTACAGGACAGATGGGATGTGGCTAACAGCGCAATCCAGGACTGGTGTTTCGCCTCGTTTGGGACTCATCAGTTGGATATACCCGGAAATGAAAGTTAATAATCATTCCTGGATTCTAACCCGATGCCGTTAGCTCCCAGCGCCATCGCGTTTTCCACTTAGTGACTAAGTCCAAAGACAGTGGGATAAATTCTTGTTCATTAGTATTAGTTGTTTGAATCTTCCCATCATGTTTATGACTGAAAACTACCATTCTATACTTCTACATGTGCAAGTGGTGCAAATGGCCTCAATATTCCATTACATCAAGGATTTTAAACGCAAATAGATGGTGGCGACAAACTATAATTTCCACATTACACACGTCAGTAGCTATCTCGGCTCAATAACTAAGTGAATAGCGAGTTGATGTTTGAAGCGAGCGGTACTGGATTCGAGTACCGAAGTGAACATAAACTCTATCTGAGGAGACTCAAGTGAGACAAAACGCGCGTCATGGATTCCACTGCTAGCCACCGTCCCTCTTTACTTATGATACTTGTAACTCAAAGGAATCCATACAGGATGCACATATACCAATAAAAGACTGATTAATTGCCGTGTTCAACATTATTTGGATGATGTAAACAATCAACACAAAGGAATAGTTTTAAAGCTCTAATTGTTGTGGTTTGAAACTTGTGGTTGTGATTTCAATGTATTTATTGATTACCTTCCTGTATATCCTATATATTATTATTGTTGAACACTTCTGATTTGTCAGTTCTTGTCAGTACTTCGCAAGTACCGTTTTATATTTACAATCGTTTTTGATGTACCTATCAGCTATTTTCCCTCTTTTTGTCTAAATAAAATGTATCGAAAGTGGATTCATGCAAATTTGTTATATTTAGAATTATTTGAATATTAATTATTTTTATTGTTTAATAAAATATACACCAGGTGTATATACAGTTTTGTTTTGTTTTAATGAAACATTCAAAAAGAACATTATAGAAATGATTACGCGTATTACGCTTCAAAATAGACACATTATTTCATTGATTTATTAAAGATGTGTAGTAATCTGAAGTTAAGAAATGTTAAACTGGGGGAAATTTCTATTTTCTTTTTTTCAACGGACTATTATTTATGGTATCTGGGTAAATTTGGACTATTTATTAATTATGACAATAATTTCTATATCGCTTAGCTAAATTTATCTTCGAATCAACAATTCACCAATATATTAGTATAACTATGACAATTTATATACTATTATTAATAGACTGTTATTTACATCTATTATACATTATTTGCTCTATAATATCAGTATAGGGTTGGAGAGATTGTTCAATTTCATGGACATCATGAACTGATCTAAGTTGGATAGGCACCGAAACTCTGAAAGCACTGAGTATCTTTATCGTCCTAGTATGGTACCCCCTAATAATGTGCATTTGCGTTCCTGGAACCGAAAATCAAATTCAGGATCTTCGGTCTCATGCGCGAACAAACAAACTCTAGACCACTGAGCCGGTTTTTAATGGCTTACTGGTCTAAATTCTGTCAGTTCTCTATATTGCGTGAATACCTGTTTTCTTCGGTGAGTACCTTCCTGACAATCGGCAGTGTATACTAAATGAACATCAAGTTACTTCACGTTTTGAATGGTTGCGTAAGATAGGTCTGTTCTTGATAGCAATAAAATTGAGCTATTCCGACAACCCTATACTGATAATTTTCATTTAGTTATTGGTGATTAGCTTTGAGAGGATATTCTCAGGGTTCTAGTAAGAAGCCATGATCAATGTAACTCAACCACTTCAGGTGTGACGGAAATATTCATCGACGACAATGGAGGGTGTTCGGGCAGTATAGAGGACTGATTGGAGTTAGACCTGATTACTGAACACTCATCACTTTTTATAAAAATTTGTCTTCAATGTAATGCGAATTGTAATTCGAAGTTGTCATTATGACCTGGGATTAATGAATCAATCAGGTATGATCAGAGTAAACCCTGGCACAACGAGATAAAATTAACAGGACACAGCAAAAGAGATTAGAATACATTAGTAGCAGTGACGATGCAAAAGACTAGACATTGAGAAAGTTTCAAAAATACAGAATGTAAAGGATTCTAAGAAGAAATTCAAGGTTGAAAGGTGAAGGGTGAATATATCTGCACCATTGATAGGAGTTTACAGAGTCTCTTACCACTGATCACGGTTACCACAAAGATTTTAATCAGGTTAGCCTGTATCTGCCAACGTGACTAAAATGAACAGTCAGGGACTTTATGGACTGATGCCATGTTTTAGTTAAGCATCGTCTAGTTTAATTCCAACCTTTTATTACCACGAAAATTGACTCTCAAACAAGCTGGCGTCTAGGTATACGTAACATCTCTTGACTGTCTTAATTAGTGAAGACTCAACGTTATCAGTCCATTTGTCACGTTTGCTTAACACCATATGGTTAACCTCAATATATACTCACTTGATTACTTTTGCATCTTTTCCTGTATTTTGTTGTTTGTTTGCCTAAACAGAATATGATTCATCTTTACAGTAATTTCGTTCTGTATTTATTATCAATGTATCAAAGAGTATGCTATTCCAGTTCATCAATGTTATGTTGTTTAATCATGGAGAAATGTTATCTCGTGATCTGTTCAGATGCGTGTGTAATAGTTTCCTGTTAAGAGTTATTGCTCAGTCAACTTCAGAAGTGTTTAGTTCACGTGCTTACGCTTTATCCTGCAAATTGACATATTTGGCTTGTATATGTGATTATTCTGATAGTTTGACATCAGTAACTGTCTTTAGTTAACAATGATGGAAACTAAAATAAACTGGATGTTTGTTTCTTCCTAGTGTTACACTCCTGAACAGTTCCCTTCCAGTAATCTGACGGTCATATCTTCATTACAAGGGATTGAGGTTTTCACTCCGTTCGCGAAACGTGTAGAGAATGTGCATAGCGGTGTGATTCTATACGACAATAAAATAGTAGTTTAATGCTTCTTTCTTTCCTAGCTAGAACAGGCCCTTAATGTTGAACTCCAAAATATAAAAATACACTCGTAATATACTCTTTGATCAAAGTTTTTCTGATGTTATCAAAATTGATAATAATAGGAATAACATCAGATAAATATAGAATAATCAAGCTTAAAAATTACGTTTAGTGAATATCTTTGTCAACAATCTTTTGAAACTGAACATGGATTTTGTTTTGAATTGTCTAACAAAACCATGCATGTACTCCTTAAGATTAAAATTTTTTATTCTTAATGTAAACTTTCAATCTCCATTTATTTTGAATATATTGACAAGAAATAAACAATATAGAATATCAGTCTATGGAATACCATCAAGTTCAAAATCAGTCAAATTAACAAACTGACAACTTAGCCATATGACAAATTTTGATTTGTGTTCTGTAATAGTAAAATACTTACTACTCACCAAACAATAACAAAAATAAAAATAATCTGGGAATAAAATGATATTTATGTGTACTTTATAGTTATCAGGAATTTCCTTTTTAAATCATCTACATTAAATAATTATTAAGATGCTAAGTTTTTTTTTATATTATTTAGTAATCAAGTTCTTAAATTATCACCTGGTTTCGAAGAGTTCGGTGCACCAGGTTGGGAATTGTCTTTATGCCTTTTATGTTGTTGGATTTTGTGTGGACTAGCGGTTATTAAAGGTGTCCAGTCTCTTGGCAAAGTGAGTTACAACCGAACTATTCATTTATTTACTTATTTTTCGTTTACATAACACTCTTAGATAGTTATCAATTAAGTTTGAATGTTGGCAATATTTGTTAAAAGGTATACAGTGACTTTTAACCATATTATTTATGTAACGTAAGTTAATGTATCTTCGGTGTGATGTACTACTCATACATAATAGATGTACAGTGGATAAATTATACAAATCGAATAGAAGTTACATCATAAGAAATGCCTGTATTTTAGTGTATAGCTCATCTGAGCAAACTGAAGTATCATAAAAGTGTTGTTTATATCTTGGCATCACCATCTCCAAATTCATATATTTCAATTGGAAGCGTTTGTTAACATCAATAAAAGTTATTAAAAACCAACTATCCATAAAATTTTGTTCAATCATGACTATAAGTAATTGATACAGAAGCTCGATACAAATATAAAATCTTTCAATACGCTTGGCCAACTGCGCAATCGGAGAAGTCTAAATAATAACTTAGGACTTATTATCGACGAAACGAAATAATTAGGCAAACAAATCACTGATCCATACACATTTTACCTTCTTACTCACACATGATCATTTAATCTTAGTACTCGAGTTCATGCACAGTCGATCTCTTCCAGTAACGTGTTTCATTTACAATTTCTCACAAATTTATTCACTATAGACAGCATGTATTCACAAGAAAGTGGTAGGTTTAATTTCACCGTGTTCATTAAGAGCGGTGTAGAGTTTTGCTTCCAGTGTGAAGAACTGTATAGTGCGGAAGTCATATTCTCTTCTGTGTCATTTATAGAAATTTATTTTTAGGTAGGATCAGTGTAAGATATTTTATCTTTGTGTTTTGGACTCATCAGTATTCTATATCCACGTCACCTTCATTAATCTAACTACTGTTAGATCCAAGATCACTGGTGTGTGTGCGAGAATGATAATGACTGGTTATTAGCTTAGTCAGACTAACAGATAGTCTGACAGGTACTAGATGAGTTATATATTCTCTCACCCTTATTGTTATTATTATTATTATTATTGGATTGTTGACTGACTGTTATCGGTCTTTGGTGTGGAAGTATATATACGTTCTAGTCAGGCAAATCATGTGTTCTTGGTCTGAGTTGTGTTGATGTCGTCTAGAATAGACAATGGGAGTGAATCTAGTGTAGATATTCGTTTAAGGCAAATTAACGTCCTATTTGTGTAGACGAGAAATCCAACTGTTATGACAGCGGTGACGGTGGTTAAAACGGATGTACTACCAAATATTCAGTTAAGGTGGATTTTTTAACAGTAAAATGGATGATCTGAAATCTTTATTGCAACAGCGAAATGCTGTTATCGAATTATTGGTCAAAAATATGACAGCATTCCTAAGAACCCAGGTATTTAATTGTGCTATGACTTCGGATTCTATTGCGAATTCAAAAAATGAGTTTAGATTTGACCCAGAAAGTGAGATTACTTTTAAGGCGTGGTTTAAGCACCATGAGGATTTGTTTGTTAATAGTTATAAATAGTGGGACGAAGGTTCTAAACTGAGATTATTACTACGGAAGCTCGGCGTTTCTGAAGATGAAAAGTCTTATAATTTTATTCTCCCAAAGAAGACAGCCGACATAAAATTCAGAATGCCTGACACGCATATTTGGGGAGTGATCATCAATTATTCACACTAGATACTAGTGTTTCCAGCTTGTAAGAAAACCACAGAATGATTATGTGACATATGCAAGCATCGTGAACCAGGAATGTGAGAGGCTCCAGTTACAGGAAATTCCCTCATATCAGTTTAAATGCCTTATTTTTGTCTGTGGGTTACAATCTGCAGTAAATACAGTTGTCAGAACACGGACTTTAGCGAGAATTGAACAAGATCCTAATATCAGTCTGCAATCAGTATCAGAAGAATGTCGAAGAATGGTTAATTTGAAGCAAGACACAAATCTAGTAGAAAGGAACAGTGAACACGTGGAAGTTAGTGCTTTGTGGATATCTTTTAATGAAAATAAAGATTTTTACTCACAGTGAATCCCAAACCGAATGAAACCCCAAACGTCTTACTGGCGATGATGCGGTGAGTGGCATTTTAAAAACGTCTGTTTCCGATGTGGTGGATATGGCCATGCCAAAGATTGCCGACCGTCAGCATGAGTTCGGTAAGGGAAATAAGACGCGGATGTTACAAGAGATATCACAAGTGTTCAATTCTCATCTAAGAGGAAGTACGTGACTGTACTTTTAATGGTAAACCGGTTAAGCTGCAAGTTGATACCGGGTGTAACATAACATAAATTTCTAGAGAGACTTCGGTAAAACTTGATCGACCTCAATATCAACCTGTATGTTATAACGCTAAAAGTGCCACTGGAACTAATATTACTATTGGAAAAATTCAGCTACCTCTCACATTGGGTGATAAGAATAACACTGGCAAATGTTATATATCTGGGGTCTGTCATACTAAATTATTAGGTATTGACTGGATAGATAGATTTGGTTTATGGGATCTACCGTTGAGCACTGTCTGCAATATGTTTAATTCAATGGTACCTCAAACTCTGTAAAGTCAGTTTAGCAGGTTTTGTGTAAAAAAAATTGCATGATAAGTTTTCAGATATCTTTGAGGGTAAATTGGGACTAAATGTGGAAGTAAAGGCCGGTATGTATGTCCAGAAGGAAGCGAAACCTGTGTTCCTTCCAAGGAGGCCGGTACCTTATTCGATTACTGATGACTTGGATACAGAACTTGACAGACTGCAGAGTTCTGGGGTTATTTCTCCTGCAAATTACTCTGCATGGGAAACACCATTATTGATTGTAAAAAATCTAATGGTAAATTACGTGTATGTGTAGACTTCTCCACTGGGTTAAACAAAGCACTACAGAACCATTTATACCCTTTACCCATTCCATATGGATGCTCCATATTTTCGAAGATTGATTTTTCAGGTGCATATTTCTAGGTGGAGGTCGAAGAAGTTTGTAGATTCCTGCTGACAGCGAACACACATCGGGGATTGCTCAATTATAATAGACTGCCTTTTTGTATAAAATGTGCCCCGGCAATTTTTCAAAAAGTCATGGACACCATGTTAAACGATGTTCCGTTTGCCATGCCATATATGGATGATATTATTATTGCCAGTAGAAGCTAAGAAGAATGCTATGACCATTTACAAGATGTTTTTCTCGCATTAGAGAGTATGGCTTTCGTTTAAAAGTAGAAGAGTGTTCATTTTCCATGATAAGTATTACATATTTGGGGACAATTACGGATTCCCGTGGACGTAGACCTGATCCTGAAAGGGTGCATATCATTGTAAATATACCAGCTCCATCTAATGTTAAAATGCTTCAGTCATGTTTTTGGGAATGACTAACTATTATAGTCACTTTGTGCCAAATATACAAGCCCTTCTTGCTCCTCTATTGAATGCACTGTTAACTAAGAACACTACATGTAACTGGAATAAGGAATGTCAAGTGTCCTTTTAAAAAATGAAACAGATCTTGGCGTCTGATTTATTGCTTCCTCACTATGACCCAAACCTTGAGTCAATGGCAGCGGCTGACGCATCTGATTCTTCATAAATTTCCTAATGGGTCACGAAAAACCATTTTTCATGCTTCACTCACGCTTACTGTAACTGAAAAGAATTATAATCAGATCGAAAAGGGGGCTATAGCCTTAATGTTGGTGGTCGGGAGGTTCCACAAGATGCTATACGGTAGGAATTTTACCTTGCAGACTTGCCATAGACCGTTGCTGGCCACATTTAGCTTTAAGAAAGGAATACTTATTCACATTGCAAATCGGCTAACTAGGTGGGCTACTATGTTGCTAGGATATGACTTCGAATTACTGTACAAGCCGTCAGCTCGTATGGGTCATACAGACGGGTTGTCGAGGTTAATTGCTAATAGTTTCAAATTAGAGGAAGATAGCGTGGTTGCTTCCATATCACTTGCACCGGAAATAGAAAGTATTTTGTGATACTATCAGAATCCTACCAGTTACGGCAGAAGCGGTTGAAGAAGCAACGGCAAATGATTCTCTACTCAAAAGAATAAGAGGAGCTGCTTTAAAGGGTTAGAAAGAGGATAGAGTGGATTGAGAGTTTCACAAATTTTTTTGACAAATGGGTCTATATCGATTTATGATAATTGTTTGACGTATGGCGATCGCATTGTCATCCCTATATCTCCAGTTTTTTTGTGCTTAGACAGTTTCACATTGGTCATCCGGGAATGAACAGAATGAAGGCAGTTATACGTAGTTATGTCTCTTGGCCGTTAATGGATAAGATCGTGGAAGAACACTTATTGAGATGTCGTCGATGTGCCGAAGGTGCAAAAGATCCATTGAAAGTAAAATCCCAGCCATGGCCAGAGAGGAACAAGCCTTGGGTCCGAGTACACATCAATTATGGTGGACTGTGATAAGCGGACAATATTTGGTGGTGGTGGTATATTCATACTCTAAATGGCCTGAAATCTATGCTGTATGAAAACCCCCTACATTTGAAACACTGTTACATCTCAGACAACTATTTGGTAGGTTTGGAACACCTAATGTTTTGGTTTCAGACAACGGAACGCAATTTACATCGAGTTTTCGGAGTTCTGCAAACAAAATGGAATTGAGCACATTAGAACTCCACCGTATCACCCTAAGTCAAATGGGCAAGCAGAAAGATTTATTGATATTCTTAAGCGAGCTCTTCTAAAGATGGGAGGAGAAGATAACGTAGAAGAGGCTCTGCAACAGTTTATAATTTCTTATGGAATTAAACCCAATCCAAACTGTCCAGCCGAAATAATATTTGGCCGACCGATTAGTACATTTTTTGATGTTTTGAACCCGAAAGATAGAACTAGTGGGCTACAAAGTATAAAGGGAATAGTCAGAAAATTCGAGAATTTCAAGCGGGTGACTTAATTTATGCACGTGATTTCCGGCTAGGAAAGCCAAAATGGATATTTGGGCGTCTGAATAAAAGACTTGGGAAGATATTGTATGAAGTAATGGTCGAAAATACACTAATTATTAGACACAAATCAACTGCGAGACAGAAAAAATGTTAGTGAGTCATCTAAATTCAAACCTTTGCAAGTGGAAGTATTATGTGAAACACCCAATATCCCACCACCACCTAATGTTGAAATGAGAAGAAATCAGTTGAAATCAGAAGCTAGCCGAAGGTCATCAAAAGAAGGGAAACAAACGAGATTTTTTCAAATAGACCTAAAGTTTAAGTCATATGACCAAACTTTGCGAGGGGCTTATGTGTGGGCGAGAATGATAATGACTGGTTATTAGCTTAGTCAGACTAATAGATAGTCTGACAGGTACTAGATGAGTTATATATTCTCTCACCCTTATTGTTATTATTATTATTATTATTGGATTGTTGACTGACTGTTATCGGTCTTTGGTGTGGAAGTATATATACGTTCTAGTCAGGCAAATCATGTGTTCTTGGTCTGAGTTGTGTTGATGTCGTCTAGAATAGACAATGGGAGTGAATCTAGTGTAGATATTCGTTTAAGGCAAATTAACGTCCTATTTGTGTAGACGAGATATCCGTCCGTTTAACAATCTCATTTAAACCAAGTTTAATCCAACGCTTTATATCTTCAACTTTGATTAATTCTTAATTTGACGCGACAATCATCGGTTGTTTGTTTGATTTATTTGTTTGTATGTTACCGGTATGCTACATTTTACTCAAAGCTTTTCATCAATAAACACCATTGCTTATTTACGGTATAAATTTTATTCTGTCGATCCATTAAACCTTTATTGCTAGAGTATATGCATTAAGCGAAGCGGATAAAATGTAAAACTAAGATTTGATGAGTTCATAATCTAATTTAATAGGTCTGTTCCTAATTACCAATATGAAATATGTACATTACTCGATTGCTCTATTATAGGTTTCTTACTTCACAAGTGTATTTCCATATATCATGTTAACAATTCTTCTCATACGAGGAGCACTCCTCCCAGGCTCAGGAGCAGGTGTACTTTATTATTTAACACCTGATTTTTCACGATTAACAGATCCCCAAGTATGGGCTGATGCTGCTACACAGATATTTTTCTCTTTGGGCTGTTGCAACGGTGGTTTAATAACTGTGTCAAGTTATAATAAATTTAAGAATAACTGTTGTAGGTAAGTGGACAGTATGGTGTTACATCACTGGCATAATTTTGTTTGTCTATATTCATTGATATATGATTATGTCAAGTTATATCGCCACTTCTATCAATTGTCTATTGATGCCCGATTTTCCCGGTTAAAATCCCTTTCAAGTAATTGGTCTTATGATAATAGTAAATTATGGCCCTTACTGTCGAAAGTAATTCAGCTTTAGTGGTTTACATGATTACTCGATGATGCAATACATTTTGCATGGCAAACTTATGTGAAATCTTAAAAATAATAGACTAAAATAATGATGGGCCCGGGTACACTGGATTGTTATTATTGTTGACTAAGATGAAATGTCAGTCCAGTTATTTCAAGTTTTTAGCAAAGTTCTAGATAAGGCTAGTATTTGATTTGAAACCTGAGAGAATATATTATGATTAGTACAAATATCTATGCTGAAAACATTGTCAAGTTTGATTTTATTTACAATACCTATCAGTTTTCACTGCGATTTTCTCCTGTTTTCCATCGTTTTCTATTTTCAAATTTTATTTTTAAGACGTTTTATCATTTATGTATGAAGCAAATAGAATTGATGATACGTGAAATTCACTCACGTTTAACTTTTGGATGTAAACCCATATTCACTAACTTACTTACGCCTGTTACTCCCAATGGAGCATAGGCCGCCGACCAGCATTATCCAACTCACTCTGTCCTGGGCCTTCTTTTCTAGTCTAGTTCCATCCAATTATTGTTCATTTTTCTCATGTCTATTTCCATTTCGCGGCGTAATGTGTTCTTTGGTCTTCCTCTTTTCCTTTGGCCTTGAGGATTCCATGTGAGGGCTTGTCTTGTGCTGCAGTCAAGTGCTTTCCCCAATGTGTGTCCTATCCACTTCCAGCAATTCTTCCTGATTTCTTCCTCCGCTGGGATCCGGTTTGTTCTCTCTCACAGTACGTTGTTGCTAATAGTGTCCGGTCAACGGATCCGAAGTATTTTGCGTAGATAACTGTTAATAAACACCTGTATCTTCTGGATGATGGCTTTCGTAGTTCTCCAGGTCTCCGCCCAATACAGTAGAACTGTCTTGACATTTGTATTGAAAAACACAAACTAGAAAAAAAATTATTCAAACCTAAATATTCACTAAGCTTTAAATTTATTGTGAAGTAATGTCAGTATAATGTTACATGTTTTGTTGTACCTATTTGATTTATTATTATTAGTAGTTGTAGTAATATATAATTATTATTAATCTAAGGATTGGGACACTAACAAGTTCACATTATGAATTATTATTTGTATTGTTATTTTACATGTTTCGTCACTAAATAACTCAGTGCTTTTTATAATCACCATTTATACAGATCTTAAAATTGTAACAATATCATTTTTAGTAATACAACAGAACATTATTGTCTGCTCATGTATATGATGAAAATGAGGATTTAAAGTGCTACTTAAATGAGTTATGTTTGAAACCCTTGGCTTCTATTACCAGATTAAGGTGTTGGAGGTAGTTGGCCGGAAACCCTAGGCCTATGTTTCATCCTAGTTGACGCGTGACAGCAAAATGTAACTGTACTCTTGAGTGGATTGATGCTACAGGTAGGATTAAAACCCGTTTAACCCAGTCCCACAGTCAGAAGTGACCGCTAGCTTATTCAGGTTACAACCATCTTCTATAGGATTCAGATATTTATAACTGACCTAACATTCTATAGTGACAGATGCCGACGTACACTATAAAACTAGGTGATGCAGGTTAGCATTTTAAGTACCACTTCAATTCACTCTAGATATTGTAATTATACCTCCGGAAGGGTTAACGGCTAGCATGAAACAATAGGTCCAGGGTTACCTACCAAATGATTACCTTCAGTCATCTACTATCAGACGAACATTTAATGTCGATTTATTTAAACCATTAGTGTTGTCAAATTCCAACTTGATCTAGATAATTCAATGAGCATTAATTAACAACACATTAGTGGTTAATTGGATGTACGTATAATCATGACTTACACATTATAAAGTTAAATATTATTATTGTTATTATTTTCTCATTGTTATCATCATGTACTTTCACAACTTCACTTTCACTGAATAATTTAAATAGAGATGCTGTCATTGTGGCAATCATTAATTGTGCAACTTCTGTCTATGCTGGTTTTGTGATATTTTCTAATTTGGGTTTTATGGCTTATCAAAAAAATACAACAATTTCTGAAGTTGCATCCAGCGGTAAGTGACTTCAAATTGCATGCTCATGTGTTTGTGTTTTATCCACAGATAGAAATTTTGTGTAGATTGTCGTGATGTGTTTGTTACTGTTTTATTTTCATTTCTATTTCGTTAACGTTTTCTCATGTTCTTAGGTTTTTGTTTTCGTTTCTCATTGATTAATATTGACCCCATCTGTGTGTAATGTCGATTTGTTTGATAGGACTAATGGATCGATAGTTGCTTTTGTGTAACATAAATATACTATCTTGTTCTGTGTGTGCCTATTTTTCGTTCCCACCAACATGAATCAAGTAAATTTGCATTTTTTTGCAATTCATAGTCGAATTTGTAAAATTATTTATACGTGTTTCGGCATGACGGCTTAATAATCGACTGAAGGGGTTTGGACATTAAAGTATGTATAACCAACTAACACCTACTTCAATGCATTATGGATTAGGTTGGCAGAAATCTGGGGGCTGACAAGCCGGGGCATAGACAGCTCATAAAGTCAACGAGTTTTGAATTGAACCGTCTTCATAGATATTTGTGTTTGGGCCAGTTTTGCAACCAATAGATGGAGATTTTACATGATATCGATCAGAATCGATAACATTAACTCTAATGTATACACTCTTGGCCTTCCGATGTATCTTGAATTTTGAAGAAACCTTATGGTATGGAGCTTGCGAATTTTCTCAAATCATATTATTTTTTCGACAACCACAGATACTGTTACTACTTAAACTATTCCACCATTTGACCTGATAATTTATTCTTATTGTGTTGTTACGACGTCGCAACTTTTAATCGATTAACTAATGATCATCAGATACGAAAACCTGCAATAGACATCACGCCGCTCTGATCTATCGTTGCTTTCTTCAAATGCTAACAAAAGAAGATGAGTTGTAGGATAAAATGTTTCCATTTGATTTCGAAGCTTTGTTATTATTTTAACAACAACAGGCTTACAATCTAATGTTATAAAGTTTTTTATTGTGCATATGCATATCAGTTTGCAAATTGTGTATCAGTGTGTTCGATGAATATGTTAACCTTTCTGTTAAAGTTGTGAAGTTGCTTTATGCCGATTGTTGGAATAAACTTAGTATATTGAGAAAAACAACCGGGATTTTTGAATGTGATGAATTATAATGAAGACTACGAATATTGCATAGGTGATATAAGGTCACGATAACAGTCGATTGCCTAAGCTCAGAACAGGTTTGGTTTCTAATTCATTTTCTATTGTGTGTTTGAATCTTCCTATTGATATTTAGGACTGCAATTGATCAGCTGACGAGTCTTAAATTGCGCTGCTAGCCCCCATTCATTTTTGTTCATAAGTTTCATTTTCTGATGATATATGTTATAGCTGGTCAACTGTGTAAATGATGAGTGGAAGTGAGGAGAGTTATTAAGAGCAATAATCTTCTAAGAAAAACGTTGAGACAGTTTAGGTCTGATTTTAAATAAATCCTAGGGATTCACTTGTATTGATTGTACGAACTTTCCCATTGATGTTTGTCACTTTAATTGATCAGGCACTTTTATATGAGTGCCGAAGGGAATAACAACTCTGGGATGCGGTTATATCCAACTGATGGACCTCAAATAGGACGAAGCCGGTGTCTTTGATTCCACTGGTAGCCACCATACTTCACTGTATCGAATAAATTCTTCGATTTTTTTCAACAATAAAACTGGAAATCGAACACATGTATTGTCATGGATGCGTGATCCATCTTTGCTTATGATGCTTGTGACTTAAGGTAATATCAAGGTAGTCCGCACAGGATGCTTATATGTCAAAATGAGACTGATCAATTGCAATCCTAAACATCAATGGGAAGGTTCAAACAAATAATTCAAAATGAATTAAAACTTCACTCCATTGCACAAGCTAGGGGCTTGTATTTTCTGTAGACAAATCCCGCGAATAACAAGTTTGATCTGAATACGAAAGTACTTCATGAACCTTATAGTGGAGTCGAACGATACGAGACCAAAAACATGTATGTGATCTGGAGCGGAAGAAATACCCAACTATATGAGTAATAGGTGACTCAATTTCTATAAGCATCAGAGAGATACAGGTAATATATATATACACATACGTACTAGAATATACACTCATGCATAAAATATCCAGAAGATTACATGTGGTCGAACATATGAGTGATAGAATAAATGAAAATATTAGAATGGTTCATGTTGACTTGAGATGCTACTAAATGTCACACTTTTTTTACTTTTGATTAAACGATAATTTGTTTTTATTAATTTTATGGCTTCGGAAATGTTTTTCTTTTAACAAAAAGTGACTTGTGTTTGGGCAGAAAATCGTTGCAGTACAGTGTTTTTATTCATCATTTTTCTTTTTCAATGATATAATTTCACAATTATCATTTTTATTCTTTTAATCATCAAGGTCCTGGACTTGCTTTCATTGTATATCCTGAAGCAATGACAAATATGCCACTTTCTAGTCTATGGTCGGTTTTATTCTTCACAATGATGTTAACACTTGGTTTCGGTTCACAGTTCTCTATATTGGAGACTACTCTTTCTGGTATACAGGATGAATTCAGACGATTAGGTGTTCATCTAACTGAAAGACGTAAAATTGCTTTCCGGTATGTGTTTAAACTAAACAAAAAACTATCAGCATCGTCTGTTTTTATGTTTGTTGGAAGTTATTTTAATTCAGAACCGACCCAAACTAGGGGACCGTTGAAAGTCAGGATGTACTGGACAGTCATCGCGTTCTACCACTGGGCTGCTCACCAGTCTGTATAAACGACTCGACTAACATCAGATATGTTAATCTCTTGAGACCCGCTCAGTGATTTAAAGATTAAGGACTCACATTGAGACTGGTATATCCTGGGCTCGAACCCAAGTAGGTTGTATATCACAACTGCTCAATAGTTCATGCTAAGACGAAAGAGCTATTCGGTGCTTCCTGGTTTTCAAGGTTCCTTTAACTAAGGTCAATTACTGATCTCAATAAAAAAATTCGGTTATTTGTTTCAATTTCATTACTATGTTGTTTCATTAATTTGTGTATCATGAAAATAAATATCACATAATTAACTTAGATATTTATGGGTGATACACTCCTTATGGGTTTGCTTTTCTGTTTTAATTACTTTTTATAGTCTCACATGAAAACAATCTAGGCTAAAATTTCAAGTCCTTATCGCTTAGATATGCAAAATGAAGATCTATTTATGTATAGGTTTATTCAAATATGACTAGATTGTATGTTGAAAGATGAAGGCAAATAAATATATGGGTCAGGCACAACAATAAGTTTAATGTTTCACAAAGGAGAATTGAGGAAATAAAACCATTTTACTCAGAATACGGGAAATTCAGGTCAAGTTATATTTAAAATTTAAAATAAGGAAATTGATCTACTGAGGTTAATTTTTTTCTTTTAAACTGCTTTATCTATATCGCTTGATCCTAAGGTTATTAGTAATTTAACATAAATCGTAAAAGCTGATCTGTTTATCTTAACACAGATAGGATAAGACAGCTTTAAACATTAGTGCATATTGATTAATTCCAGCCTACAAAATGTTGGAATAAGTGAGGTAGGGATTGATTACAGCTGATTGAATTATGTCATTCATGTGACTGTAAAAAACTGATTTGTGAACAGATTTAGAAACTACGTAGTTAGTGGTTAATTTATAATTCAAGACCAGAAATGATCTGCGGGATATTTTCGCTACGATTGGTAATGACATATCTCTGTAGTTCATTTTGATTGTGGATGCTGGAAGTGTATACATTTTTAGTAGGTTCTTTTTTATTATTGTTTAATTGTCTGATTGCTTATGATATGGTTATGGTTTAAATTTAATTTTGACGATTATATTGGCAAATTCTGCATCTTTTGAACTAGAGAATACATTCACGCAAAAAAAACCGATTTGACTACATGACCAATTTTCTCTGTTGAATCCTATACCTAATTGCGTAATCAAGTGATTAATATTATTTTGTATTTTATAATTTACTGTATTGTTTAATGGGTTTTACGTCACGTACAATAGATGTTGTTTCTCTAACATCTCATTCTTCTTTTAACTTGTATCATCCATACACGCACGCTGTCTTTAGAGAATATAATATATATATCATTTAACGTCACTGCAAATATGTATTTATCTTAATTATGTTAACAATTCTCATCTCTTTAAATGAAATGCTAAACATTTAAGTGGATTTTTTACGGAAGTTATAGTTTTTATCTTTTGTTTCATACAAACGATATTGAAGTATAATTTTACATTGATGAATGTAGACGTTTCACATCTGCATGGTGAGACAGTTAGTCAATACCACAAAAGTTTATTGGTAACTTATATGAATCAAACTGACTTAAATCTCATATGGAGCAATAGTTTGGTCAAAAAACTCCAAACATCTTTTGCTGTAACCGATGCCAATTAGAGATTTTTAGACGAAAATCAAATATTTTACCGGTAGTAAATAAATCTTTCTTCATTTAGTGAATTATTCAAATAATGTCGCATAGAAAAATCAACAGTGGTGAAATTATTTTTACTTAAATGCTTTTTTAAAATATATTAAGTTTATTAAATTTACACTTGTTATGAAATACACTTCAAGCTGACTAAAATTTTAAAGTTCAAATTTCATCGGATTTCGTTCGATCTAACAGTTTATGTACATGTGATATTCAATGAAGAACAATATAAGTATTGGATTGGACAACACGTGGAGCAATAACGTTCGCACTATGTTCAAATAATTCGAAATTAGGATAAATAGTATTGTAAACAACGAAGACTTGTTAAGGTAAAAGCCAATTTTTTTATTTATACAAAATTCACACTATGCTTCTGTAGAATATGAAAATCAAACATTAATTATTTCATCTGTATATCTTCTCAGAGTTCTGCTCTACATTCTCTATAGTTGTTTTAATCCTGTTATTTTGATTACTCTCTATTTTCCATCCTTTTCTTTTTATTTCAATTTTCTGCTGGTAAGAATTCCACTTCCTATTTCCGCTACATACTACTTATGTCTGTCCGCATTAACAGAGCACACCATATTTTTGATAATGAAACATTTTGTGCAAATCATCTCACCATTTATTGTTTTCCTCAGTCATAGATTTCGTTGTCATACACATTGTTTTTCACAAATAAGGTAAAATATTGGGTAAATTGGTGATAGCATTAAATATGATTATTTTAATGTTTATTCCTATGATGAGCAATTTCCTTTCGACATTCAAATCTGATTGGATATATCATGATTTCCAATATGGTAAAAACATCTGATACATCAAACCATTCCTAACAAAACACAACCAGTTTTGTAACAAAATTTTGAAAAGGAAAGTGTATCTGCTTGAAAAAAAGCTATGGTTATGACTATTACAGATAAGTAGGATGTTCGAATGTCTCAGCTAAATTATGACGTACTGTTTTTTAGTTTAAGTAGTCCATTAGATTGCAGATTACTTCATGAGACAAAAAATAATTCAAATTTCGAATGGTTGATTGTGAACACTTAGTGCGTTGTACAATATTTTTAAGGTATTGCACTTTCTCGTAAAAGTCAACAAAATCGATGATATTTCAATTTGTTTGGGTGATATTTTCGCAAAAACTACGTTTATCTGAATGATAAATTCGTTGTTGGTGTAGTATACATCAAATGGTAAATATGAACTTATGAAAAACAATGTTCTCCGTTTAATTACATAACTTCGCGGTCAAATGTTTTGGGTTTGCATTGCTGAATTAAATATGTATCCATGTATACTAGTTGACAGTTCTCTTGGTTACTATAATAATAATAGTAATAATAATAATTTTTGTTGACATATTTACAGGATATCAGTATGTTGTTTGAATTTTTTCATGGGATTGCCAATGGTTTGTGCTGGTGGATATTATCTTGTAACAATATATGACAGTGTAATGAGTGGTTATGCTCCATTAATTGTTGCACTAAGTGAAACGGTCGTCATTACATATGTATATGGTAGGTCAGATGGTAATTACTTTATTCAAAAGTTTAGGTTTATTTTAGTTATTTCAAATATGATAGAAAAATGTATGTTTGTTTTTTGTTGTTTAATAGTAAGATAATTCGGAATTATTTAGAATTAAGGATTAAATTGGAAACACTAAAATATTAACAAAATCTATCAATAGCTTTATCTATATTGGTTCTTTTCATTATGAAATAAACATAAACTTGAATAACATTTAAAAGAGAATAAAGGATTATTAGTTTTATGATTTATAAAGAAAATTAACGATTATTAGTGTTTACGTTTTCAGTTTATTCGATAAAATTTGATCAACAACAAAAGAACTAGACAAATTTGGCATCTAGTATTAAAAAACGGTTATTCGAAAATTAAAATAAGGGCCTTTTCATGTCTTCACTGTTGAAACTTCTTGGAATCGACTGTGAAATTGACATTGTGAGAAAAAATTCAATGTTTAAAACGTACGATCGTCCTCAGAAAAATAAATAATTTGAAACTAATTTAAACTAGCCGCTTAAACATATAATAATGTGTATTTAAACAAGCATTATAAGTAGAGATGGATGGTGGCCTGTGATCAAAGGCAATATTGAGACAATCCGCACAGAATACGCATATGCCAATAAGAGACTGATCAATTGTAGTCTTAAATATCAGTCGGAAGATTCAAACAAACAATACAAAAATGAAGTTAATAAGGTTTCCGGAAACATTGAATGTTCGTACAAATCAGCATTTTAGAAAATGGTCTCATTGATACTTATTACAGAAAATTGATTATTATCTGGTGATTAAGCTTTTTCTATTAGCTGCCTTGTCAAATAGTTATTTCAAAATTGCATTAGTTAAAATTTTAATAAAACAAATGATGTTTATTTCATTCGAGGGATAATTGTTTTTCAAGCCTAGCTTCGATTGATTTGGTGTATTTGACATTTGTCCGATACGTCCGAATATGCTACAAATGGATCGAACTTGGCATAACTTCACTCCAACACTTTGTCCATTATGACACTTCCTTATATAACAAAATGGCTGCTCAGCTTTTCAGCTTATAACAGATTTTTTCATTCAGTTTTGATCCACTTCTTTTGCGTCAGAGCAATTGTTCTTTACCATTGCCTTTAACTGAAATGTGTGGGTTAGAACAGAAAAGAGAATTTTTACGTAATAATTCTGAGATCAAAATACATTATTTCAATTAGTTAATTTCAGGAATAAAGGGTGATAGTATTGGATAATTTATAAATAATGTAAGCGAAATTGTCTACACAATTTTATCCACTTTTCATAATACAATTATCGAGTTCATCCATTCTATCACGTAGAAGATTTCAATTTCTATAAATAACAAGTAAGAAAGTTTGCTACTTCATGAGTCGGCGTCCAAAGATAGAATTCTAACTGTAATTACTTTGCAATTTAATCTGTGAATAGATTTCTAGTTTATTAGTTTTAATGTTTATCCTAAATATGATATTTAGCTGATTCCATTGATAATCGATTTTCCATTCCGTACATATTTAAACTGTACCAATCATGATTTCTCACTAGATATTTCTGGAACATCTTGGAGCATGTAGTTAGTAAGCCAACTATTGTAGTATAGTTGAAAGTGTTTTGTGAAGGTTAATTTGCTTTCATTGAGATGAATTTGTGACAGATACGTTATACCTACTTCATTTAAAGCAAAATAATATCTTAAATGCCTTTTATCACTTACCTAATTACTGCAACTTTGTTTTTTTAATACACTGTACTACATGTACTACATTGTACAATCTACTGATGGTGGGAACATCGGTTCCAATTTCCCCACAAAGCTATTCAACTTACATGGCAGGTTTGACCTGATGGCTTAATCTCTATGTGTCGATGTGATATGGCAACTTGAACTGATTTATATAAGTACAGGTTCTACGTTGTGACTGACTGACACATATGGCAGGATAATATAGACGCCTATGTTGGGTTCTTGAGTCATATTAGGTCGCAACATAATATAGTCATTCAATCGATTCATGAGTTTTTTATAGACATTCTCCACCAAGGTTTCCTTCATCAGTTTTACTTCATCTTTAGCTATATTATCTTTGCACAGATACGGTCATTCCTGTTGAATAGATACTGGATAATAACTATAGCCACCTAGAAACCTCTCCCAATCAATGTAGACAGATTGCTTAATTTGATAGTCTTCTCTTTGACTAAAATGTACCAACTTTACGGATTTACTTGTATGTTCATGCATATACCTAGAATACAATAATCGTAATTGCAAGAAATATTTGTTTACTATTCAAAATGTTAAAAAATTACATAAATTTTTTACATAGTGATAAATTTATTATTGCACTTATATGCTATCACTTTTGTTCATTGAATCACTCTTAGGTTTAAGACAATTTCGATGCGATATTGAATTGATGATAAATGAACGACCTAATTGGTATTGGCGTATTTGTTGGCTTGTAATTACACCAACTATTTGTCTTTTACTAATTATTTCTGTATTAACAAATCGGATTGAATTAAAAGAGAAGAACTATTCTTTCCCACCTTGGGCATATGTATTATACCAATCACTATCTGCTGGGACTGTATTATTAATCGTTGGTTGGTTTATTTATAAATACTGCAGTGAAGGTGGTTTTCTAGTAAGTGACTTATTGATAAGAATTTATTGCTTGAATTCCTTATCTTTGTTGCAGCTAGAACAACACTTGGGAAACTCAATATTATATAACTATTTTATTCTAAAGTGGACAACTTGAATATTTTATCTCAACTACGCAACCATTTGAAATATTCCACTTATCTCCTTATTGATCTGCATTTAATAAGTATACAACGTTTACTCAGTTTTCATAGTTTTTGTCTTTTGTTTAAGACAGATCTGTATATAACAATAAAATTAACACAGTAGATCGAGTTCACATATTTGTAGATCCTTCATCTTGAAAGTGATATCTTCAATGTAATAAACCGAAATTCAACGAATAAGCATATCTAGCTTCGGTCAACCTTAATGCTAGAAAAAAAATTTGTTCAGCAGAATTTCATGTAGCTTATTTGTTGCCGCTTTATACTATGCAGTAATTAATTTGTCCTAAGCCATAGTTATCGAAATCAATTATAGTCTTTACTTGGTAAAATAGAAAAACACTATAGTAAATCGTTAATTTGCAAAATATCATTTCATCATATCAAATTGGACTGTTGCTTTTGCAATCATCAATCCATTGTCTCACATCTTATGGTTCATGCGTTTATTTTTAAAAATTGCATTGCGTTCCCGCTCTTCCTTCATCGATCTTTTCCCATCTTCTGCTGCCAGACATTACGTTCTTTAACTCGCGTCATATACTACTTATATCAATATAAGTAGCACACCACAATAGTTCATTCTTGTTTATTGAAGGAAAAAAACACATTGATTCAATGTATCACATATTTAACCTTATAATTCAAATTTAAGGATAGGTTGTTTAAGTTGTTTCTATTACCATAAATTGTAATAATAATTAGTATGATAGTTTGATGGGTAGCCAACTAGTCTGAGCTTCTTCAAAGAAATAATCAGATACAAAGTCATTAAAGAGTATGTAAGATTTTTGAAATACTAAATCTTCCTAAAATGTTTGTCAAATCAAGTCCGGATGTTTTATTTTGTGCATGGTAATGAGGGTTATGAGATTGATGTAAAAATCGTTTACAGTGTGAAAAAAGTGCATGAATCCCTGTCTGTATACAAATCCATATGCTATTGTCGTTAAAAAAATACTGTGAGGAATAATGTCTCTGACTGCTAGAAAAGATAAATTCATCGTCTTGCTTTCCATATTACTGATGGTACTTATGAGTTAATTAATCTAGTCAAAGTGTGTCATGATTGAAAATAGTCGTATAGTAAAATAGAGGAGTTTTAGATAACTTTCAAATATATTTAAACTTATTCCAATGGAAGTCAATCAAAATGAAGTGATGTTGCGTGATAAAGTAGTCAAGCATATTAAAAGTTATAAAGTGTTTCAAACAATCATTTACAAATGAAAAGGTGTTATTCTAATGTAATTCAAGTTTTCAAGTACTAAAAAAAGGTTACATCACTTCAAAAAGTAATCATCAATCATTAAGAGCTTATGTTATGTAATAATTTCGAAATAATAAGTAGTAATCTATAGAGTAGAAGTTGACCGTCTACTTAGTAAAAAAGATAATAATTAGGAATTATAATTTGTAAAATTCGCAGGGGTTCTAAGACCATGACAGAACATGACTTCTGTACACAGTCCAAGTTTGAAATGGTGAATTGCTATGGCCTTGACTGTGCATAAATTCCTCATTCGAACGTTGTTTCAGCTAGTTCTTACGTTGTAGAGGATTTTTAGCGTAGGAGCGCGTGGCGAGCTGTAACCTGAATTGACTATCTGTCTGACGACTGAGCTCTTGATTGATTTGTATGCTACTTTAAATTACTATACACCACTTGGATATTTCTTTACCGAGTGCGTTCTTTGTACGATCAATGTAACCTGTTTCACAAGAAAAAATAAAGTATCTATGAATACGATTGTACAGCTATGGAAAATGATATCGTCGAAAAAATATTCTTTGTTGAAGCGTCGCATAGTTCATTAAGATGTTAAATTAAAGACAATCATAGATAAATGTGTTACATTTTATCAGTATTAGGTTTTGGGGATTGTTGAGTTTTAAATAAGATGTCAGACCACTACTGAAAACTTGGGAGCACTAGATGGTTGTCTCGTCCTAGTATGAGACTCTTCAGAAGTGTACATCCACGATAACGCGTGCTAGATTCGAACCCCGGAGCCCTGGTCTCGCTTGCTAACGCCTAACCTCTAGACCGATGGGCTGTCGTTCAACGATGTTAATGTCTAACTTCAACCAATCCACGACATTGTGCAACCATCTTCCATTGACTTCGGTGGGTAACTGCCCCATATGCTACATGTTTGAACTCCACTGGTTACGGTTTCTCACTTGAACTCCTGAGAAGTAAATTTTTATTTGAAACAAAATCCAGGTAGTATAGACAGGTTAATTATTAAAATTCATGTTTTTTAATTTGATAATCACCATTTACCACCAATTAATTCACTGAATTCTGTCTCTTCTATTAATAATATTAGACAATTAATAGTATATTCTGTGATCATTTTTAACCTGAATTATTTTCCATGAATTATTAGAACAGTTTTAAATTTTAATCACTGAGATTAGATTATTTATATCTATGTTTTTGCATAACTAATTGTAAGTATATGATTCATTTTGTTTTTTTAAGTTGTATAACTTCACATCAATTATATACTTTATATTAAATAAAATGAGTAAATTTTAGTTCTTATTATTCTACTACCATTACATCGCCGAATATTGCTCCACTGCATTGTGGATAAAACCTCTATGTCAAAAGCTCCGAGATTAGTGCCCCCTGCTTCGATTTGAGCACATGGGCATTATCCCAACCCTCACACAAGTCGAATAATGAAGTGTGGAGCATTTATATTTGGTGCCTCCCTGAACCAGTATTTATGTGCTCAAGTAAATAAATATAAGATCGTAAACTATAAAAATAACTACTGAAAAAAAACCATGAATGTCTCAGTTTCATGTTGAATAAATAAAATTACACATCATTTTATCAATGGATTTAAACTAGAAAATGATTCATTTGAAAACAGTACATAGTTGTTGATTCTTCATTTTGCTATCAGTAGGCCATTGTCTCCGTTTTGTCTTTATGTATACATTTGTAATAATCAAGGAAGTATTGTGATGTTTTGTTTGACAATTGTATTCAAAGTAAAAATTCTTACGTGTTTATATGTATGGCCATAAGTTTTCAACTTGAGTAATCTCAAACTTGTGAAAAACAATAGTTCAGTTTACACCATCTGATTCTTTTTCAAGTATTTCTTATTTCGTTGTGAAATTTAACATTAATACTACAAGCAATTTGTGGAGATTATTGAGTTCTAAAGTTTGCACCACTAATTAATTTTAGTTAAACTGTCATTGAAAATCAAGAAGCGTTTTACAACTAACTTTTTCTATTCTGGGTCTTCTTCAAGAACCAACCTGTAAGTTTTAAACTTTCACCTCGTGGCAGATGCCTGACCTCTAGGTCAATAAGCCTTCAGCCAATGATCTACATACCTAACTTCAATTCGTTTGCATGGTTGTGAAGTTCAATACTAGGAAGAAACAGTTCAATGACTCTTGGTTATCAATAGTTGTTCAACTTGAAACATTTAGCGATATTAGCAAAATTATTATTGTCACGTTTTTGTATTTAAGAACAATTAAATTTAGACAAATAGTTTTTTTTCTTTTTTCTTTGAATAGTTATTAAAAGAATTCCTAAAACCTGTACATGAATGGGGACCAGCCGATAAACAACATCGCGCTGAATTTATATCAATGATTAAATCTAATGAGTCACGTATTAATGAAGCTGGTGGTAATCTTTATACATCACCGATTGGTGGACCAACTACCATAGAAGGCAGTCAATTACAATTAGGTTATGGATTAAATAGTTCACTTAAAAGTGGTCTGGCTGCTGCTGGTGTTATAGATGATACTAAATTCTTTCAAAGTAAATTAAATGTTGCTGAAAAACTTACACATGCTCATACAAAAGAAGTAGTAAAACGAGTCGTCAGCAATGCAGATATTAATCCAGCCAATGCTGCTGCATTATTGTCAGCAAGTCAAACAGTAAGTAAACATAATTGTTTTTACTTATATGTTTTCATAGTTTAAATTGAGGTCTAATTAAACCGTTGAAAACCCTCAAGAATTGGACGGCTATTTTGTTTTTCTATAATTTCTACAAATACACGTATACTCATATTAAATATTCTTAAGTATTTGTATTTTTTCCTTTTTGGTGATGTGGATCCATGAATGGTCACTAACTTGACTTTATTTATTCAATGTAGGACTAGCACAATTCACGCTTTGTGTAACTGAGGGCTTCAGTCATACTTCTAATAACCTCGCTGAAGTAGACATTGCTTTAGGTTCAAATACTGAGCTGGTTCTCCTGGGCTGAATTCCAATAAACAATCTTATGTACACAGTCTAATTAAACGGTACAGCAAACATTTAGAAGGATAATAACATACCCTCTTGCCTCTGCTATCTCCGGTTATGTGCGGATTTACTTGGGAAGGAAATTGTGAATTTTAGTTGCTTCAAATTACATAATCCTGCATTTATTTTGTTAAGTGTGCAGTTCTAAATGCGAAACATATATTTAACACGTTTTATTTTTGTGATTAATTTATTTTTTCAACTCTAACGTTTGTATGGGAATTTCGAAGTGTGTTTATTACACTAATGTGAATATTTAATGAATAGCTAAAAATTTAGAAAAATCAATGTCAGTATACCAGATATAGAATGTTTTGCAACCACATAGAATATAGCATTTTCAAATGATTTCAAATCTCAAAAGCCTTTAAATTGCCTCGGTCACTATATTAGAGCTCCCGTTGTTAGTTTTACACATCTTGCTATTGAAATATTGGTAAATTTTACTTAACTATTAGTTAGGCAAAAGCCATTCATCATAGCGCTTTAAATTTCTACAAGAGATGGAAAGGCTCTGTCATCAATCCGATCGGTCCGTCTAACTGATATTTTTAATGACAAATATTTTTTCATACTACAATTAGAGTCTTATCATTCAGCATGTTTTGAATGTGACTCGTTTCGTCAATTGATAAAACAATGGAAATCGGAGAGTATACTATGAAACTGTTTCGATTTTTTCTATTGTCCTCAGTAATCTACATGCATGTATGATAACATGGTTACGTTAAAGCACGTTATTTGGCTGGTATTTATTGATTCGCAATACTGATTACAATTGTTTCATGATGTAACCCGACTATTATTTTTTTCATTGATAATACTCAATAAGTAATGAAATTCGCATCAGATAATCGTTGACTCCTTTGTACCTAATGACTCCTGTTGATCAAGTTACAATGAGATCAGAGATCTAGCTGACTCTACATTGCATACACTACGTTGAAATTGTAGGTGGTTGTATGTTGTCGACAGGAATTCCGAGACCTAGACTTTGTTTCGTTCTGGGTGGTACTTGTTAGCTAAGGCCTGTCTACAATCTTTAAGAAGTGGTGCCATCCGGTGAGTTGGAGCCCATGATCTTCCTCTTGTCTCATATTCTGAGACATTACCATTAAGTTATATGGCTTGTGACTGAATCCCTATATGATTGAGATATTTACAGTTTGGTATTTGGTTCTTTCCTCTCAGATGCAAAATGTTACTTCAGGATTGACCTGCGTGAGCAGTTGAATAAATGATAAGAAGTGAAGTCGTTGGATGCATCAGACGCGTCGCTTGTATTAGGAGTCTCATCAGTCCTGGTGTTCTCGTGTCTGACAAAATTTTGGCACTGATTCAAAAGGCTCTATCGGGTCTTGCCGAATTTCGTCACTTGTGGAGTAGTCGAGATGTCCGTCTCAGAACCAAAGACAAGTTCACTGCGCTGCAATTTACCCCATTCTACTTTTTGGATGAGAAACTGAGTAGTCTATGTCTGGGCTAGGAGTAAGGTACGGCGAGACTAGTTTATGAATGAATGACCTTTGAAGGGATCCCAAATGACCTTGAAAATGTTAGCCACTCAGGAAACAGTATAGAGTAAAAATTTATTATACAAAACGAAAGAATTCAAGTGGATATACTTCGTTTACATGATTCAAAGACTTGTCAAGATTAGAAAGAGATTCAGAGGTTCTAAAATCTTAATGCACACGGTAGAGGAACTCATCCATATGGCCCCAGAATAGTCGGCCTCTGGAGCCATGATAATGTGGCAAAACTCTTTCAGCCCCGACCACATAGCTTCAATATTGTTTGTGTGCACTCTGTTGTGCAAGCTTGTCATTTTTATTACGCATATATCTCTACAATACTTATACCACTGAAGAGCCGAAGCTTCAGTAACATCTGCGAATGTTTCAGCCAATGTTACTGGTGCTTTTATTGTACAGTTCGCAATGATTACCATAATTTGCCTTAGCCTCAATCTGGGTCGAGCGAAAAAAGTTCCTATTCCAACAGACTTCTTCCTCCAACATATTACATCGAAAGACAACATCACGATAGTCTTCACAAGGTCCACAAATCATTTGATTACCACAATCACAAATAAACTAAATCCCTAGTGGTCCAAATTGTTGTAGCCACTCAGTTATCACATCTCTAAAATCCTCTGTCACGCGATCGTTCGTGAGCATCAGGTACCGAAATTGATTCGTCCATAGATTATAATCTATAGGGTACTACTTAGGGATGACAAATTGATTGATGGGGGAGTAAATATTGATAAAGTGATGTAGTTTTGACATGTATAGTTGACCGCCACCTACCTAGATGGGTGATGTTTACTGGCTGAGAGTAAGCTGGAAGAAAGCTAAGAAGATTGAAACCAAAACATGGCGTCAGTCTATTAAGTTATTGACTATTGAACATGGACGTGTTAATAGGTGTAGACCACGTGGTTGGATTTCTTGTTATTATCGTATACAGTACTTTAAAGACTTTGGATGATATGGCTCAAAATATTTTGCAATGTCACAAATGTATCTATTCTTTTGTCTTCTTAAAAATTCTGAGCTCTTGAATTTCTCATAACTTTTATGTTTTCAGTTCACTAATTTGTATCTTCAATAATCGTGTGTTCGATGACCAGTCTTTATATCCCAACTGACACTGTCACTGCCTCTGCTATTCTGGGTTTTCTCCTGATAATTTCATGTTTGTGCTAATAATGTATGGCAACTTGAACCACCGTACATATGTACTGGATTCTACGTTATGACTGATCAACTGACTGACAGACGGATGAATACGCCTTGAATACTAAACAAATATCATATTTGTCCTAATCCTTAATTCTGATTCAACTCAATTGAACAATCAAATGTACTACATATGCAGTTATCCATATATAGCTGGCTGATTCTTTTTTTCTCAACACTTCATTTTAGGCATTAGCTGCAGTTAATTCTGTTGCTCTACTTGGTTCACAATCGTTATCTGGTTGTATTACAGGTAATATAAACATTGATACAAGTGGAATAAAATTACCGGAACAGTTTTTCATATCTTCAGACTGTGATGAAATGAATGAGTCAGTCAAGTCTACTGATCAATGAAAAATATAAAAACACTACACTGATTATTCTTTCGTTTTTTGCTGAAAGTTTATCCTATCATTATACAATACATCAACGATTGTGTCTGTGTGTGTGTGTGTTGGTTTATTTGTTTATTAAATCTGATTTATTTTTTAATGAAATTGTAACAACATAAATTTAGTGTATGGAAGTAAATACACAAAACAATCCACCCATCCCACACACACACACACATCTACATAAATTATTAGTTTAACCAAGTAAATCAGTTGAAAAATATCACTATACACAACTTTTTTTGTTTTGGTTTCTTAATACCAATTCTATTGGTTCATTTTTGATTCTTCGTTCTATTAATTTATTCATTATTTACTACTACTACTACTAATAATAATAATCACAATGGGTTATAGTTGTGTGTGCATGTTATCAAATGCTTCTTTCCTAAATAAACACATCTTATACAACGTATACATGTAGTTAGTTAATGTACATGATGAAAATTCAGTAGTACATTAATTGTTTACTATTTCAACAATTTTATGCGATTGCAAAATAATAAATAAGAACTTTCGTCTAAATTTGAACGAATAGTTTCACAATATTTGGGCGCCGAGTTAATTTGAGACATTAAAAAAAAGAATATATTTGTAAAATCTCAGCGAATGAATTTTAAGTAAATCCAACGTCCAAGCTTTTCCTTGAAAAAGCTTGGACCAGATTGCCAGGCGAAACGTTGGATTTACTTAAAATTCATTCACTGAGATTTTACAAATATATTCTTCTTTTTAATATTTCAACAATTGTTAATAACATTTAATAAAATTATATTTTAATATGACAATCATTATTTGTAATAAATCATACTCTTTAATATTCTGCATTTTATTATTATGAACAAATATTTGTTTCTGTTTCTGTTTTCTTGTTCTTTTTTTATTATAAATTAACCTCAATTTCTATATTACAACTATCCTAGTACTTACTACTGTATTCATTCTAATATTATGTATACTAAATATGTTAGTAGATGAATAGTAAAATACAAACAAATTAAATGATAATAATAATAATAATAATAATGATTATTGTTATATTTATAATGTTTGATTGAATAAATTTATCCCATAAGCTATTTATATTTTCTTTTGATTGATTGTAGTTCAATAATGAATATACATTTAGATAAATTTATAATTATTTACCATGTTATTGATGTGAATCAGTATCCTGTTATTTATTTATTTTACAAATAAATAGAAATTTAATTAAAATATAAATTATTTATTATTTATTTATTGTCATCTATGGACACGTACTGCTAGGAAGAAACGGCCGTTCAGGTTTTTCAGATATCAATGGTGGTCAAATATTGGTCAACTTATGATTTCAGTAAAACTCAACAATCATCTCCATGTACTGGAAAAAACAATAGTCAATAATTGTGTAATTGGGCTACAAAAGTAGTTTAATACAATATTTGTTCAAACACAATACTATATATGAAAAAAAAGATGTTCTTCTCAACAGATAAATTTACGAATCAGTCTTAGCTAGACCACATGTGAGACGCGAACTCAGGACCTTTTACCGCGAGAACGCTTAACCTCTAGACCACTCAGACAGCATCAGTTTTTACAGTTTTACGCCTAAATTGATAATCTAAAATGTGACTCGATTTGAGGTAAAAAAAAAATACTGCTATAACTGTGACGGCAGATTAGAGGACAGCGAATTGTCGATCGGACCAAAGACGCGCAAACACGTAAGAACAGCCTACGGTTCTGATTGGTCCCGCTTTCCTGTCTAGCCCAGCCAGTTGAGTCCAGAACGCAAGTCTCAGTCTTGGAGGTATGAATCGTTATATTTCAAACATACTCTGTTTATATACCAATCAAGCAGACCACATCGTACCATAAAATAGAAAATAACATTGTACAATATTGACCAGTAGGAAAACGACACGTGAAATAACACCATTTCAAGTCCAAGGATAGTGTTAGACTTAACAGAATAATTTTTGGGATATTTTACTGAATATCCCAACAAATACATTGTTTACAATTGTAGAATGTGAATTTCGGACATTTTGTAAAATAAATTACATTTCTTAATCTTGAAATGACTAATATCCAGTTTTAACTTGAATAGGTTTATACATTAAATGTGATTGTGAGATATTAATAATCAAGAATAAATATGGATAACATAGGGTAATTACAAATACAGTTAAATGTTTATTGGAAGACTACAGTGAGCGATGAAATATGAATCCAATAAGACGAATGCTAAAAAAATGATTGGTAAGATTAACGGTGAATTTGTACCAATAAAAATTATGTAAGGGAATGTGGATAAAAATAAACAAAATAATATTTTACAAAGACAGTTTGTATGCAATTTGGGGCATTCTATATTTAGGATTATTATTGGTTTTTTGGCCATGAGGTTGGTCAGGTTAAGAGAGGAAGAGGTTGGACATATTTTCTTTCAACATGTAGTTCCTGTTTTCTGATCCGATTGACTTTCAGGTAGTGACATTTGGAGAAAATTACTAGGCTGATGAATTAATGAGAACGACTTCAGCTGGCACAATGACTAGTTTGCACTCAATGGGCCTGTATTGAGATGTTCACTGTCCTCACAACACCTTTGTTTAGCTATGCTGAGGGATGTTGACGAACATGAGAATGCAAATTTCTAGAACTTTAGCTGACATAGCTTTTTTCGCAAGAGCAGTCCAGTTATTAACTACAAAATAAAATGGGTGTCGTAGATGGTTCATCGTTAGTCATGCTTTCACAATCGAGTGCGTGGAAAACACTAGTTCTAGTTCTTAGGATTAAATGTGATTGTTATACGTAATCTGTGGATTAGTATTCCACTGTGCGCATCTCTATAATTTATTGTATACTATAATTATAAGTAAGTAAACGCGTAGAAGGGATTTATTTCGTCTTCAAGACTTATTGTCATAGATTTGTGAATGCTCAGCTGACTCTACCTTCACATAAACTTCAACTCAATTGGTGATTATACATGAGAACTCAATTGTCAAAGCAAGCTGATAACTGATAGGACAACTGTTAAGAGAAACTGACGAAACGATGATAGATACTGAGTCATTTTAAGATTAATAGTGATTATTCTCAGCTCAACGTTTCAATTTCGTGTTTAGTACAAAAAAAAGAAACATTTTCACACTTGAAAACAATATTTAAGCAAATAGCAAGCCTTAGCAAAATACTAGCGGGATCAGGACATTATGTTTCTGGTTCGTCAGAACAAGATAAAATACTATAATGACCTAAGCTACCTAAGGTCGTTAATCATATTTCCTTACATTCCTGTTTGATTAATTACTTCGTCGATAAACTGACTATTGGCTACCTCACAACTCATGTTTCATAAAAAGCACTTCTGTTTATGTTCAGTTCCTCTATTTTAAAACATATCAAGCATTAAGTTAATGTTTTGTTACTATAGTTAACGTTGAACTCATATTTAGTCTATCGAAAGAAAATGGTAACAGAATATACATTTATTGCCTTCTAAACTTTTTATTTTGTACTTTGTAATTATATATTTCTTCTGGTTGCTATTAGCCACACACAAAAACGCATATAACATATAAGTATATACACCGATGATAAACTTTTACTCAGATCGATAATTTATTTCCCTATACTTATCTACCATCTATAATATATGAATGATTTGAATCCTTTCCATAAAAAATATCCTTACATTAATTTAATCAGAAATACTTTCAGAGTATAATAAACTATATTTTTGCACATGTACCACTTATCCATTGATGGGTATACGGTAGACCTATTAAAAATAGACACAATTTTCAAAGAAAAATGTATTTAACCTAATTTGATCACTAATGTATCCAATAAATTAGTGTGATGCCATTCATTTCTTCATTTCTGATCTATTCTATACAGTACGATAATATCTAATTGAGTAGTAAGTAAGAAATTATACTGGTTAGCTGCAAGAATTGTTTGTATAATTCAAACAAAATTATGAACGGTTGTGCAATTGCATGAAAAAAGGATGACACACAAATCAATTGTTCATAAAACTACGATGGATCTCTATTCTTATTTGATAAAAAACAATTGAAATCATCTTGACGTGAAAAGAAACAAATACATCTGAAAGGACAATAAAAGCAATAAAATCACTTTTTTGTAAGGGTATTGTGGAGGTTGTTGAAATCTATGTTTTACAAGACAACTCTATCAGGATTCGGACCTAGAACCTCCAATCTACGTAGTTAACGCTTAACCTGTAGACAACTTAGCTTCATATAGTTCACATTTGTAAGTTCAATTGGTTCATATATTTTTCAACCACCTTCCCATGCAATGACAGGTCATTATATTATTCACGACATTATTAAACCTCACTGGTCATGGCTTCTCACTAGAACTCTTGGGTAGCGGATACACACTCTCAAGGATGAGTGTCTAATGCTTTCTAAAATTTTACGTTTGTAAACTAAGATCAGTTAGTTACAAAATCTGATAGCTTCTTTGATTATTGATTGATGAGTTCAAGTAGACAGTAATCAATTTGAAACAATCAATTCAGACTACAGCAGATAGAGTTAATTGGATTAAGACCAATGAAGCAATGTCAGAAAATTTATATGCCCAAATAAGAGCACACTATACGTAGTAATCTGAGACGAATTGTATTATGTTGTGATATGCGATAAAAATATAGTATTTAAGTGAATTAACATTGTCTCTTCAACAAAATACCTAAAGATAAATAATGATTAAGCAAAATCGATACTGAGCAAGTTGACAACAATTCAGAAAAAAGCGTACGATACTATTGATGTACAAATTGACTTTGAGATCTTTAATCCAACGTTTAGCCATTGAGACTGTAGAAAGACAAAACTAGAAATCTATCACTGAAAACGCAATACCATTCAAGTGTATCTGCATGAGGATTTATGAAGATTGTTGCATTTTCAGGGTTGATCTAGGATAGACCACCATTGAAAACCTGGAACCACTATGCCGCCGTTTGGTTCTATTTTGGAACTTCTAAGTAGTGCCCACTCACCATCTTGCACGTGAGACTCGAAATCAAGACATTTGGCTTTGCACGCGGACGTTCAACAGTAATTGTGTACAAATATTTTCTAAAGTCAATAAAATAACTTTTCGAGACAATGATATTGAAATAACGTAATAAATTCCTGAAATTTTATAACAGGTCTCAATGAAAACAAAAGTTGATATTATTTCATATTTCAACAATAATATGATATTAATCGGATAAGGGAAAATGAAATAGAGTCTTATAACCTAATAGATTAAATCTAAATTGAAAGAAGCAAGTGTTTCTTGTTATTTCACCTTTAAATCATATCCTTTTCATTGTACTGTACATTAAACAGCTTTTCTTTTCACATTCCTATAATAATAAGCCCTTATCATTCGTGTTTAAGTAATAACCAAAATAACTATCTGGATTTCAATAAAAGATAAACTAACAATCTCTGTTATAATTCCTATTAACTTGAGACTGTACTTTACTTGGCACATGTACATTCTAAGATTTGGTAGA